ACTCAACCCAATTAAAATGGTGTGAAATTACCAGGGTGGCAATGATTAAATCATGTGATTAAATCACTTGATTTTTTTCTAAAAAAATCATGATTTTTTTTATTTTTTCGATTTTTTGATTTTTTCATATATATAAAAATATTGAGTGACAGTCTTTAATTTATATTGAGGTATTGTTATTCATGCTTTAGTATAAATGTACTATGAATGACAAATTGGTATAAACTTGTTGCCTTTAGTGTGTATTAGGTTCCAATAAATGGAATGTTTTTGGTACAGAGGCATCAAGAGTGCAATAAATTGTACGTAGCTAGCAGCTTAGCTAATTCTTATAAGGCTATAAGTAGTCTAACTATTTGACTATTTGTTATATATTGATTACAATATACAATTTAAATATGTTAGCTAGCTTATACAGGGTGGGGCAAAACTGATTGAACAGTTTTAAGGCAAAATAAAAGAGTAATGGAGGTACATAAAGAAGGAAGTTTATATTCCTCATGATTAGCATAACATAGCATTTAAAATACTTATGTTTTGAAAACAATATCAGGAAGATGGGGTTTGTTAGCTGCATCACACTGTTGGAGTTGTTCTCAGAAGTTTCCTACAGCATGTTCACACATATGGCGAGGTATGGCCATAACCTCTGCTGCAATAATCTGTTCCCTTAGCTGTGGTAGGGTGTGAGGGTGACTTCTGAACCCCTTTCTTTTAGATGTCCCCAAAGAATAAACATGCATTTCAAAACATTGAGTGACATTCGGGCTGTGTGAGCTGTAGCCCCATCCTGCTGGAACCACATGTCTCTCAATGCTTCATTTTCAACAATGTTTTCCATCCTGGGCTGCAAGAAATTTTGCAACATTGCAGCATAGTGATCGGAATTAACTGTTACGGTTACTCCCTCCTCTGAGAACGACTCCAACAGTATGTTGCAGCTAACAGCCCCCATCTTCCAGATATTGTTTTCAAAACATAAGTATTCAAAATGGTATGTTATGCTAACCTCTAGGAAAATAAACTTTCTTCTTTATGTACCTCTATTACTCTATTATTTAACCTCAAAACTGCTCAATTGGTTCTGCTCCACCCTGTATATTGAGAGGTTGACATTGTATTGACCTTTTAGGCAATTAGAAAGATTTTCCACCCTAATACGAGTATTCTGATTAAAATATTTAATTTCAATCTTTAAATATGTGAATTTGAAACTAGAAACAAAACAATTACAATTATAAGACTATATATAAAATAATTAAATGCAGCAAATGGATACAAAATATTTGAATTGTGCACATGTTTATTTCAAATAGTGTTAGCTTTTCTCATAACTTAAGTCTCATTTCAAGTCGTATGAGGTTTGTTTGGTTATCGTTCAGTTTATGTTTAGTATTGGTTTATTGGTCTGAATTAAATGGGAACAGCGCAGTCAGTCACTCGGTCACTACTAGTCGGTGTGTATAGAGGATAGAGTCTGGTAGATTTATAGGACATAAAACTAGTAGATCTATTGATAGTGCTGTGCACTGTGCTATCAGCTACCTATCTGTTATGTTACTCTTCAATGTTTAGGAGATCTGCATTCCTGAAGTGTTTTTGTATATTGAAGCTAGTTAAATGGTCTATATTTAGCTCATTACCTTGCTCCATACAAACTTTACAAAGCTAATGAATAGACTTATCAATAATTGTTCACCCAAAAATCCCTAAGTAGTGAACACTACCTTGGCCTGTTGGCCATTATTGAAGGCAATAAGTGCCCTTTTTAGCCATCCATTATGATCCATATACTGTTATTGTTAGTAGGCTAATTGCAACATAAAAAATAACACCTCAAAAATACAAAAAAGCTGAAAAAATTAAAAAAAATCAAAAAAAATAAAAAAAATCATGAAAAAGTAAAAAAAAATCATTGATTTTTAATTTTTTTTATTTTTTTTTAAAAATCAAAAAAATCACCAACCCTGGAAATTACAAGTCATCCTGTGAGCTTACAGATACAGAAAATAAAATACTTAAAAAAACTTTGTAAAAAACCACGTTTTTCTTGTGGACTAAAAAGTAGAAAATAAATTATGGTTCGCCCCAAAAAAACGTGTGTGGGGCAGATTTATGAGTAAAGCAAAAAGCATACAACACTTAAATTTTGGAAATTTGATGGTAAACGTACAGCCCGACCCACGTTTTTTTGGGGCGAACCATAATTTATTTTCTACTTTTTAGTCCACAAGAAAAACGTGGTTTTTTAAAAAGTTTTTTTAAGTATTTTATTTTCTACTTTTTAGTCCACAAGAAAAACGATTAAGACTTGATTAAGTATGACTTGACGTACGTATCGATGATACACAGCGTCAGCGCCTGCTCGTCTATAACGTGAGCGCCCGCACGTCATATTATATATATACTATATATATACTTTACTCAATTAAACTAATTTAGGTCTCTAATTACTAGTTTTTATGATTGTATCTGAAATTGTTAGGCGAAAATAGCCTGCATGCCGAATTTCAGATCTCTAGAACAATCAGAAGTGGGCTAATTTTCGTTGTCAATGTTAACAACAGACAAACAAACAAACAAACGGGAAGCTAAGCTAAGAAAAACATGTTAAAATGCTATAAGGCTGCTGATATGAAGCTTGCAGTGGACAAGGTTGTTGTAAATGCTTAATGGCATGTTCATGGATATGGTAATATCACATCAATAATACAGTAATATCACATCAATAATAAGGTACCTACTGTCAACTTAACTGGGGTGACTTGGGCCATGTTTTTGATTTTGTTTTGCAAACAAAAGCAGGGTCATAAACGATGGCCAAAGTCACTCTGGCGTTTATGACCTTGTTTACGACCCTGGCGTTTACGACCCTGGCGTTTACGACCCCGTTTTTGTTTTTTGTTTGCAGTCACCCCAGTTGAGGGTAATTAATGTTTATGGTAATATCATCAATAAAGGAAAAACAAGTAAAAAGCACTGAAAATGTCATTTATTCTACCTCTACACCATCTACAATGAAAGAGGAGGACTTCAGAGTACTGTTAGTAATGGATGAGTACACTCTACATGCTTCAAATATTTTAAAATGAAGTTTTATTGCAAGTGTCCTGAGTAGCCCCATTCGATGGGGCTACTCGGGACACTCTTTTTTTTTGCTTCTGGCACCTTTGGAATAGCATATGGAATTTTTTTTACAATGCCATTTGATAGCCCTCGCAAAGAGCTATAAAATGAGCCTAAACTTGTTTATGAAATGTTTCATCGTAAGAAGTTATTAACAGTTATTAACGAAAAAATGCTCAAAACTGTCCTGAGTAGCCCCGGTTGATGGTACTTATCGAACTGGAGTTTATTCTGTGTAATTCATCCTTTTGGTTAATTTATTCCAGTCAAATATATCAGTCACAGCCATTTCTCCTACCCACCTCAGGCTACCTGCAGTCAAAGTCTCAACCAAGATGTTTTATTTTAGTTAGAATGGATAGCCTACAACAAGAGCTTTCAAATAGTACTAAAATCTTTGAAATTGGCTAATGGGAAAACTAGAAATGATAGTTTTTTCCAATAAAAATGCCAGAAATTGGTCCATTTTTGAGACCTTTTTTGATAAAGAAAGGAAAAAAATGTAGCTTTTTCACTTTTATTTGTATTCCACATATATTTATATGTTATTTTTCTAAAAAAATTCTCTTTTCAGCTCTAAGATTTTCATAAAGATCAGAGGAAAAAAAAAATATTTTTGTCCACTTGCCTACAATAAGTAGGACCAGTAAAGCATTGTGGATACCAGCATTGTCATCTATAAGATACTGCCTTGAATTTTGAGTAGAAGTGGAAATTAGAAAATGTAGCTCACTCTAACTCAGTACTCACTGCAGTGAGTGGCAGAGCCAGAAAGCAAATTTTCTCAAAATTTACAAAAAGAAGAAGTCACAGACAGATGGACAGACATGACAAGTATAATAATAGCAGCACCTTTTTTCCATGAATGAGAAAATGTGTTAAAAATAATTGATTCTAATAAATCTCTGGTTGGACACTATGGTGCTTGATTTGTGGAATGGTAGATTGGGTGAAAGAGATTTTAAAAGTGTGTGACTTTGAAGTTCAAAATTGCATATTTTGACTTTTGGTGTAAGTATATAAATTTATATTTTCACTCAACTGTGAGATTTTTATGAGCATTAGACATCATTGAGTTTACAAATTTAAATTTTATTCAGCAGTAGAAATTCATAATAGCATTTAGAGGTATTGATAGGTACTTATTACTAAAATTTCATGGCTCCCAACTCCTCAAGTTACATAGGTATTTTCCCATGATTTTTGAATAATGTGACTAAGGTTTATAGTTAGTTAACTATTGTTAACAATTAGATGGAAAATAATTAATCTAATGACATGATTGAAATATTCCTACTTACCTATTAATAAAAATCTTGCAGCTGCAAAGTGACATCTTTTCAATAAATTGTGAATAATGTTGTTCTTGCAAAATCACAATACTACTAATATATATATATAAATGGGAACCATTCTGTTTAAGCATGCGCAAAAATTATCCATTTTTCAAGATAACTAATAAATCTATACTATGGTACCTACTTAGCAGGCACAAAAATGTTGAAATTTAGTATCAACATAAAAGTATCAATAGACATGAAAAAAACAAATCTCACTGTAATTTTTTATTTAAAGATGATGGCCACAGTTTGGATGGTGCTTTTTTCTATGGATTAATTCAGTGCACATGAGGCTCTAAGCACTGGCACATGCCCAGGCATGAAGAAGCTATGTATAATTATGCACATGCATGGTGTGCGCATCGGTCTGGTGTTTGCAATCTGGTGGACATTTGGGTTGGGTCCAGTGAAAACACTGCTGCTACTGAAAAAACTTGAAACCTGTTCCAACTACTTATCATATTGCATTGTTGTTTATTTCATTTCAAGATCTTTTCAATGCTAATGATCTAATGAAGGTTATTTCTATTATATTTAAAATAATATTTTGTATAAAATTTTTGTTGTTAATAGATAATTTCAGCTTAAAAGCTAGAAAATTCTGAGCTATGCTAAGTATCTTCTTTATTGAAGAGCTCATAGATTCATCTGAGACTGCTGCATACCCTTGTTTTAATTATGGATTCTAAAGAATATTATCTTGTTACATCAATCATCATTGCCAGTTTTGTCCTGCTTGCTACATCTGATGACCAATCCTGCTCAGCACTTTCTAAAGAAGATACACAAACTTGTGGATGCCAGACTAACAGACAGCATGCTTCTCTGTCACCTGAATCAAGAGTGAATGTTGATGAGTTTGATGCTGACAAAGCAAATGTCAACACAAAGGCTTATGCATCGCATCTTAATGACTTGGTTGTTGAAGCTGGTGTGCCATCACTACAAAATTATCAAGAAAAATCTAACTCTGATGAGAATTATTCAATGGATAATGGAAAGACACCCAAGTGTGAACACAATTGTTTTTCTGAAGACCTTGTTGAAGATATGGTACTCATTCCTGGTGGAAAATTCACAATGGGAACTGATTCACCAATATTTATTGCTGATGGTGAAGGTCCTGCCAGATTAATTGAGGTGAAACCTTTCTATCTTGATAAATATGAAGTGAGCAATGCTAAATTTGCCAAGTTTGTTAAGGAAACAAATTATGTGACTGAGGTGAGATTTTCATTTCAGACTTGCGCATACATGGTTATTTCTGAAATACTGTTACTGAGCCTGACAGCCATGTTGTTTAAATAATTATAGTACCTATATAATATGTCTTGTCCAGATTCAAAATTGTCATTTTTTTGCAAATTTAAAAAGTAAAAGTAATTTCTACATTGATTATTTGTGAAAGCCTTCCAACTAGTTCCTTTTAATACAATACAATTTCAAAACTTTTTCAGTATTTTCAGGTATTCTGACTATACATTGTTTACATTGGGTTTCAGTAATTTTTCATGCACTAGTTGAGTGTAATTAGTTGATTAGCTAAATTTATTTGCAGGCTGAGAAGTTTGGTGATTCATTTGTCATGGAACTAGAGCTGACACATGCAGTCAAGTCAACCATAACACAAGCAGTTGCTGCTGCTCCTTGGTGGCTTCCTGTTAAAGGGACTGACTGGAGGCATCCCACAGGACCTGACTCTAGCCTAAAAGGTATGTGAAGCAGAGATTATACAAGTTATATATATTTCTTATTTACCAAAATAACTGGTCTGATCCACCTCAGACATCTTGCTTCCAGTAACTTTCTGTTTTATTTATTCACCTGATACTAAATTTTTCAACAACTTTCCAACTAGTCTCATGAATCATGTTGACACTTGTAATGTAATACTACTGTAATTGACTAACTTGTTTGACTGGTAGTATGTACCTGTTTTATCGATTTTTAACTTTTTTCCTGTACGTTTATAAGAATAAATCACTACAAAAATTTCAGATGCATGGCATGAACCAGTGGTTCATGTATCGTGGAATGATGCGGTGGCTTATTGCAAGCACCTTAACAAGCGACTTCCCACGGAAGCAGAATGGGAACGGGCATGCCGAGGAGGCAAAGAAAACAGGCTTTTCCCTTGGGGCAACAATTTTACTCCTGCTAATGTTCATAGGTTTGTGATCTTTGTAATTTATAATTCTCTACCGTGATCTAGTTACAACTTGTGGTCTCATTTAAGATAGAAGATCCTGACGATTCATTTCAGTTGGTGGTGACTCTGGTAGATGAACATGGGATATGGACAAGACAAGAAGATATTTTTTCTTTTACTTCGGGTAATTCAATTCTTGTGTTGTACAGTTTCAGACAATTTTTATTCATAAATTCATTTCTGGCAGGGCCAACACGTGGCAAGGCCAGTTCCCAACTGCTGACAATGGTAGTGATGGGTGTGCAGGGCGCTGCGATGTCAGCCGCTTCCCACCCAACGCTTATGGTCTTCACAACATCATAGGCAACGTTTGGGAGTGGGTGGAAGACTGGTGGACTGTGGATCACGTCAATGGCAAGGTCTGAATGATTTGTTTTATTTTTTGCAGTACCTTGTAATATTTGTAATTCAATCCTTTGAATCTGACTGCACTGAATATTATTGGCGTGTACGGTATAAATTGGCATTAGCAAAGTCTAATTAATCTACATTAGTATTTTAGTAGGATGTTGGATACCATTTATGAAAATTATATTCACTCTAGAGTTCATAGAATGATTAAAATTTTTAATGAATAAAATTTTTAATGAATAAAATTTTCCTGTTAGCTAATTAATCTGATGGCCTTCAGTTTCATCTTGACCATGTGTTGTATAATTTTTTTTCTGTTGTTCAGACTGATTATTTTCATATGATTTTTATAAGGCTTATTTAAATTCGTGAATCATTAGTGAGGTATCAATTACATCACTAGGTACATTTCTTAGTCTTTTAAATTAATTGTTCATACATCATCCCTAGTTGGCCCTACCTTTATATATTGCATTTAGATTTACTTATGTCATTTCTTCTGCTTTGCCGTATTTGCTAAAGGCATTTCTTAGAATACCTTTATCTGATCTTTACAGAAGTTAATTCAAATGTTCGGTATTTAAACTGAAGCTCTTATATTGATGATTCTTATCTGTAATTATCCACTTCTCAAAAATTGAGGTGACGTTTTAATCATTTCAGTCTCCTCCAAGCTTTGGCACTGATAAAGTCAAGAAAGGCGGATCATTCATGTGCACCGAGCAGTACTGTTACAGGTAAATGTCTGGTCTGAGAAGTGAGATAAGCTCTGTTTAACTTAAAGGGGGATTATTCAGGTGCACCGCGCAGTATTGTTACAGGTAAATGTGTGGTCTGAGCAGTGAGCTGAGCTCTGTTTAACTTAAAGGGGGTTTATTCAGATGCACTGAGAAGTACTTTTTCTGGTCTGGACTAAGCCGCTAGCTGAGCTCACATAACAAAATAAAGAGACCTCAGAGAACAACTAGAATATCACTGTATTTTTACTTCCTGTGTTGAATGCTTCTTGGTCCTAACACTTCCCTATGCAAACAGATTTTCGGAAGAAATTCTTCCCCTTTTCCGAACGCAGCCTATGAATTCGACCACTAACGTGTACTGCAGCTGATGCCGCACTACTGAGGGCCAGATCTCATGATCGCACTTTTCTGCAATAAAAATCTTCCTCTTGGTTGCGCTTGATATTTGTGCAAATTACTCATGCAATCAGCCTAAAGAAAATTCCTCTCCTAATTTGAATCCAGGCAATAGCTGGAAAATAACACACTCGATTTCGAATCGCTAGGTACCATGTACGCGCTTTCCATATTAGGGGTCATTCATTTGGTTGTTTTACTCAATGATCAATAAACTGTGATTATGTAATGCTTTCACATTTCCACCTTGTGATTTAGCTGCGCTAGTTCAGTTTGTTTTTAAGCTGATGATATTTTCAGATACCGATGTGCGATTTTGAATCGCTAGGTACCATATACGCGCTTTCCATATTAGAAATCATTCATTTGGTTGTTTTACACAATGGTCAATAAACTGTGATTATATAATGGTTTGATATTTCCACCTTGTGATTTATTTGCGCTAGTTCATTTTGTTTTTAAGCTGATGATATTTTCAGATACCGATGTGCTGCCAGGAGTCAGAACACACCGGACAGCACCGCCAGCAATCTTGGCTTCAGATGCGCCGCCACCAGACCAGTCGCTCACGGCTGAAATTTCCGTTGGAGGCGAGGAATTTATTAGCAGTCTGGGTACTTAGCATCATGCACGATTCTCTAACACTTTGGCAACTGTAATTTGGACTTCGTTGTAATGGTATTTAAGTAATGATATTTGCATAATCAATGTGAGGCAAGTAATTTTATTGAGTACAATTTGTATACCAAAAAATTGTGGTTAAGTAAATTCTTTATTTGTTTAAAATTTTTTTATATTGTATAAGCCGTTTTCTACTCCACGTTGGAAGCTTCACTTCAAGTGCCAATCTTGGGTCGTTACGCTTGCATGTCAAAAATGTATTATTTCATAGCATTCCACTTAATGGCATTAACAAAATTCTTGTTCTTTGATCGATATATGTTAACTTTGATATAACATGTATTAACATCAAAGTAATTTTGAAGGCATTGACAAAAGCAGGAAAGGATTAGCCATCTAGATTCTATTATTCTTAGATTGTTCGCATGTGTGAATATTTACTCAAAAAGCTGTGTTTGTATTTGTTATTGGAGTCTAAAAAACTCTTTTCTTGATACATATAGAGTTTCTTATTAGCGTGTGTATATTGATATATTTCTATATTCATACCAGTCATGTGGAGTGCATTTAATGTGTTTTAGCAATAATATTGTTGGCTGTTGAGTTTTCATTTCCTATCGTAAATTAGCATTACAAATAGGTCAGAGGCCCCAGTTTCTGAAGATTCAACAATCGTTTTGCTATAGTTTTCCTATTATAACTTGAGTCCTGTTGGATTCAGAGATGGTATTTCAGATTTTGTGTTTACTTTCTTCAAGTTTCTCCAAAATTTCATTTTTTTAATACTTTTTTGAGTATGGATTCTTTTAAATTGCGAGCTATTGCCTATAACTCGACTTTTTATTTGTCTTCAATTTGTTTTTGTATTGAAAGTTTTTTTTACTGTTTCGTCCTGTGTGCAAATTTTGTGCTCGGTGATTTGAAAAAGGATGGTATTTACTCCATACCCAAAATAACACGATCATACAGGCGCTTTAAAAGTGCACTCCATGCTTCAAAAATGCTGTTGAAAAGTTTTATGGTATGACGAAAAATTGTATTTGGCTAAATCCTAAATTGAGACGCTAAAATTGCACTGCAAAACAAAATGAATCTGAGTGAAAAACTCAATCTTAGCTTAGCACATGCGTCTTAATGTGTAAACTTCGCACTAATTAAAACTATTACAGAATTCAGTAGCAAATAAAATGTAAATACAATTTAATTTTAACGTTTTTTGAGACCATCTTGATTATCAGTTCAGCAACACCGGTCCGAACACAATTTGGTAAGGACAAAATGCAATGTAGTTGTAATTCATTTCTCTTTTTGAGAACATCTCACGACCATTAATGGAATTGACTTACCAAACTTCCTATCTGACGTACGCTTGTTTTACTACTGTGGAGTACATATTCTCAGAAATTCAATGAAAATTTCAAGACGCTTTTCATTATGAGCTCAAAAGTTTCCGTTATTGATTTAAAAGCGTCACGGCAAGGTATATGCGTCATAAGCGACTCAGAAGTTGCCACAGACTGGCTGTGCGCGAGAGGACCTCACTCCGCCGTACCCCAGCCTGGGAGTGTTCAGCCAGTCGGCGATCTCTCCACGAGCGCGCGGCGAGCAATCTTTTGAAACTTGATCCACGTACCGTCTCGAAGCTGACAAAAATGAGAATAGCATTATGCACTGGATTTAACACTCATTTTGTCTTCGGGTCAAAATTACACGCAACACGACCCTATACATAGAGGGCTTAAATTGGAAATGATAACAACAGCTAGAGGGTTAAACTTTCTTTCATAAACTTGGAAATATTCGGGCTTTACAAAACGAGTGTGACCTGCCGAGTAGTTTTCTAATGTAAATTTTGTTCATGATGTTGCCATTCATGAATAGATTTTAAAACGGGATTATGCCTTAAAGTATGCAGAAAATTGATGTATTCGCCTAGTTGTAATGTTCACTATGGTGACTCGTACTAATGAATGAAGTAAGTTTGGAGACGACAGTTGTGTGTTGATCGGAGGAATGTTGTTCACAGTCAGAGGTTATGGGCTCATGGAAGAGGATTAGTTTCCTTTATGTCGAATTAATATTAAATTATGAGTAAAATTACTCACTGGGGTCAGTGGAGAGATGTTTGTCTGAGACGCTCATAAGAGTAACACTGCCCTCCAAGCCTTCGCCGTTGTCCATGCCCATGTTGTTCACGATGGTATTTTGGTGCTGGCCTGTTACCAGCACCCCGCCGGCCGGTATTTTCCATCCGCGGCTCTGTCAACCAAATTTTATTTTACGATTCTACACGGAAAGTGAATCGAAAAATATTACATTTCAAGTCGAATATTAGATTTAAGTACACTACAATCGGAAAGCCAGCTATAAAACTGTATTTTACAAGGTGTGTTTTCTTCCCATGAACTATCTGCGTCGTACCTATTCTGCACGAGTAATGAGCGTATGGTTCAGATTAAAAAGCATTGTTCAATATTTACTCTCAAATTCGGTGAGCTCTACCGAACTTTATTAATCTTGTGTATAGAGTAATAATAATGATAACAGTAGTTACCCTTTTAAGCAATGATGATAGTAGATACTGCATGTGCCTATAGAAATTTAATAGCACATAAGGTGTTCGAGCAAGTGATTTCAGGCGAATCCTATGACAAAATTGACACCAAGAACCAAACCGACAGCAAAGTCAAAACATTTGCTTCGACACCATGGTCTTCAACTTTTGCTTACCGGACACTAAGTCCTGACCAACCTTCTTTCTATCTTGAGATCACGTTTAGTTTCCTGATGACCAATTCTTCATTGTTTGAATTCTCAGATCATTGACCCCGTTTGTCTTTCAAGCACTCACTTGTTGATTAATGCCAGACTCGACGAGCTGACCACTCTGCCATACCGACCACTCGCCCGTTTCTCCACTCCAGGAGTGGCAGAAATGTGACCACATACGAGCCTGGAGACGACGAGCTTTACTTCTGTACACATTTTGACCGTTAATGTCCAGGGTCCAAAGAGACTCTGACCCGCGATACTGCAACGTAATGTTGTCGGTGTTGACCTCTTCGTCCACTGCACAACCCGACATAATCCGATTAAGTTTAGCACAGCCTAGCACCAGGTATATGACTCACAGACATCGTTAAGCATGACACTAGGTAAACGACAGGTAATCGATCCCCAAGCATTATAGTTGTGCATGGTAGCTGGTAAACAACGCACAGACATCGTTAATCAGGGTAGCTGGTAAACAACTAACAGGTATAGTTGTGCATGGTAGCTGGTAAACAACTCACAGGCATAGTTGAGCATGGTCGCAGGCCTAAGAGGATTGTCAACCATCATCCAGAAGCAAGTTGAGATCTCATTCAGCTGGGAAACGTTCGTAGCGAACTGTTCGTACTGCACGTACATCCTCTGGTGAGGGGTCATCTGCGCAGAGATGATTGTTCGAGTCACCCTTCGAAAATTAAGATCAATGTATATCTTCTTACCTCCATTTTCCGGTTAGTAATAATCTTCTATAAATCTGACTCGTGTGAAATAAACGGTTTAATTAATGCATTGAATTCAGGTCGCAATTAATGTTCGATAGTTGATCGTCACACGTTATAATATGAACTATCACAAATATATGAGAAACGAAGGTATCTAACAGTAATGCATGTTTATCTGCCAGCCTTTTTTTTCTGTGATTTAAAACGTTGAAATAAAATGAAATCAGTAAAAAGCAAAAAGAGATGGTATGCGATAAATAAAATATTACCTTCATGTAAACGACCCCGTCACATTGCCCAGGTCTGCGGCTCTGGTCAATGGAAGGGAAATGAATGACTTGATTTGCACTGGTCCCGTCGTTCGAGCCGAAATACTGTCCATTAACCAGCCCTGATGCTAGTAGAATCAAAGTAACGTGTACGAACAACATTTTGTTGTCTCTTCCTGAAGGGAGAAATATTTATTTAGCCGAGCCGTGTGTTGAATTTCTGAAGAAATTTATAATCACTATGACTCAATCTTATCCCGCCATAGCAGTTTTTTATTTCTTCTAAAATTGATACCAAGTAGGTACTATTTGCCTGAAGAATAATTCAGTTTTACTCATCTATCACATTCTAATTTTCTACCGGACTCTTCCTATCTACGTGCCACGTAGTAACAGTTGCAGTCGGTGAAAAAATGGTTAAACATGTCATACAAGAGTCTGAAAAATCACGGTAAAATTGTTCTTATTTGGACGGTGTCAGGTTCGTTTCTCGTTATTTGTGTGCTCTGTTGATGGGATCTTACATTCTTTGTAACTTTAATCCACATCGGCAAATGATTTACTCTTTTTCACTTATTCTCACTACTACTTTAACCAATTTTATTTAGATCCGTCCATTTCAGCATTATGATGCAAGTTCATCGTAAATAATTCCAGTAATATTAAGCTTTTAGTGCGATAAAAATTCTGTCACAAGGCGAACCCGCTTGAATAATCCATTTGCCCTCGTATCGTAGTGACGGCTTCAACACTTTCCTCTTATAAAGGAAATTAAAAATAAAAATGCGGCTTTAAATAATTACCACCGCATCTTACCATAACCACTCAAGGACGCGTCTACTGCTATTGTGAGAGCGGCAGCCTCAGGCCGTAGTCTTTATGGTGAGCCCAGAGAGAAGCGTCCGCCTGCTACCGGAACTGTCGCTAAACGCGCAAGAAAAATCTCCCTTTTTAGCGCATTTTCACATTTATGGAAAACGGCGCTATTTTGCTGGTCATGTCAGTCTGTCCGTCCGTCTGTCAGTCTGTCCGTCCGTGATTTCACGTTTTCGTCGACGAGAAAATGCGCTCTCTGTCACTCACTGCAGTGAGTACTGAGTTATATTTTTTAAAATCTGTTTCACTATCCGAAACATCCTGCCATTTGCATGGCTGCTCTTAACCTCTGACGTTTTGGATACCGAATGCATGAAATTTTTTAGGCTTTAGCTGACGTTCCGTGTTCTTATTTACTTGTGAACTGGTTAAATATGTATTTCTGGGATACGATGACAATGTGCATTTAGATGCTAACGTCCTTTCATATTAATCTTTGTTTCACAACGTTATCTTTTCCCGGCTTCTTGTACACGTCAAAAAGGTCAGTAAATGGTGATATTTTCTATAGATGTTATGTTTTCCCGCTGCATATGTTACTCTTATCACCACGTGCATTCTCTTTCCGGTGTTATGGACAACGGAAGGAAAGGCGGGAATTAACCATAAAAATAACGGCAACCTGTGAACCTGCGTCCTTATTTGAGCAAGCTTCATATTTCCGCAGGTTCTCCGTTCATAATTTCTTCAAATACTGATTTATGCTGGTAAACAGAAACTATTGAATCCCAATTAAACGTAAATTATACTTTTGAAAGAAAACTAAGAATATAATCTCTTCTTCTGAAGACTTAGTTCTTTGAGGCCTCCATCATTTGTTCTGCGAAATCGATGCTCTTGCTATGGGAATTATTATTTTTCAAAGAATTATAAAATTTGCCACTATTACTGTATGAAAAAAATATTTATCAATGGAATGAGACGAAAGCTAAAATAGCTACGCTTTTCGTTTCTATCAAGGTTTATCTAAAATCAAAATTTACGAAGATTTTACCTTTCAAGTGGCAAATCGATACATAACATTTCCCTTGTCAAAAAAAAAAAAGCGTTAGCCAGTTCAAAACCAAAAAACTTTGTATATCATGGGAGAACAGTTTAGTGAAAAGTCATTATTTCAACGTTTACAATTATTCCAGTAAGCATGCAGACTGGCGTGGCATTTTATTCAAATTGGATCATAGCTACGCTGTACGCTCGCGCACGAATTATGAAACGCCACTTTATTTGCACCTCGAACTCGAAGAAACTTATTTTTGTGCTTTTTCCACCAACTATGAAATTTGAAAGGCATGTACACAAATTATGACCATCATGTAGTCATATATGTTAAGTTAATTATCTTCGATGATTTACAATTTTACAACACTTCTCTTTAACTTCCCTTTTTGTTTGTTAAATTTGTCTGCTACAAAACTTATAATTGTTATATAACAAACTTCTGCCCATGGCTGAACTATACTAGTTCAATCATGGTTCTAAAGTTCTACCTGTCCAATCGATCTGAAATTTTTGCACACAAAGTCGGAGACAATGCTTGAATCAATTGATAGAATAAATAATTTAATTTTTTTTAATATGACAGGAAAACCGAAAAAATAATTCTTTTAAAATATTTAAAAATACAATTAGAAATTCATTGTACATGTGTAACGTCGAAGACACTGGTCTCATTAGAAGTGTTGTCTTTAAAAAGTAATTTTTGAATGCATATTATTTTCACTCACTTTGCGGCAGACTTGTGAGGAAACTAATCGTCAATTAAGATGGCGTGGTACTGTATGCATTATTCATTTATTATTATTATTATTATTATTATTATTATTACCAGTATTTTGTTTCAAAACATGAATGACTCGGATTCGTATTTTGACCCGCGCCTTATCTTGGCACACGTACCTAAAAAGTGAAATAGTCGCTACTTTGTAGCTTGAAAACAATTAATTCAAACTTTACGATTGGACAATTGAATGACATTGACAACAGTTGTTGTTGTCGCCAATCGTTCTATTACTGTCTAAATATGAAATGGAATTAAAGTTATATTTTGAATCTGTTGTCCTTTAATACGAGCAATGGTTTTGTTGGTCTATATTCACGTGTTCCTAAACCGGAAGCTTCAACTTATACTAACCTTATTACTGTAATATTGCTATTTACGGCTTAAAGACGCGCAATTGTTATTATAATAATAATAGCAGTTTCAGCGTTTAGCAGGCCGTAGGCCTGTCGCCTATTCTTAACATCGCAGAACATTCACAGCATTTTGCAGTCTCGAACGCGCAACTCACTGCTCCAATTTACCGCTTTGCTTAAGAGGCCCGTTCAGCCGGCTCAGCCGCGTTAGTCGCTAATGTAATTTTATAACTATTACTAGGTCCAATAACTCCCCTCATAAATAAGATATAAGTCTGAAATTTGGAATGCTATCCTGGCTAATTATTTTCAATGTGTAGACATTAAGATAAATTATGTAAACTTTTTATTTCAACTGTTATCAGGGAGGATGAAATCTTGCACCCCGATAATCGTAAAGCGTGTGACTTTTCTAGCAATTTCTCGATATACGTCGGTTCAACTATTTATTCTTCATTGATCGCTACCTCAAACATTTCTGAATTATTATTATAGTATTATATATAAGCACTTGAAGCCCAAGGGTAGGTGAAACTTCCGTAGATTAAAGCACGACCAGACCTTTGGTTGTCATACTCTCCTGCAGGCGCCGGCAATAAATTTTGTCTTCAAGGTAAACATGCACTCTTCTTTCACAGCCCACTTCGCAGTCTGGTCTATGAGCGTCATGGTCGTACATATATGAGCGTAATTATGTTTTTAAATATGAAGAGAATGAATGCAAAAAACAACACAATTTTGTATAAAGTTTTCCATATGCTACCACATGAACGATTATTTTAATGCACATCTGTGAATTAAATGAGTTAGAATATAGCATATTAAAATCTATACGTGCAGGATTCTATGTAATCATTGGTGTATTTCAGTCGATGTAGAAATTTTCCATGTCAGCAATTTATTAAAAACGGCTAAAAAATGTTCTTATTTTCATGTCATTCCATTCCTATAAAAATTTTTCCAAGGAGAAAAAGTAGTCAGTAACAATGCATTGAACATCGCTTAATAATATATCATATTAAGAGCTGGGATCGAACCCGCGCCTCTCTGCGTCTATTATGGTACTCTGAACTTTAACCACTGGGCCACCCTGCCCATATTGAAAAGTATGTCGAAAAAATATTGCGTGTTCACAAGTTGTCCTTTAAGGCCTATGGTATACTCGCAATATTCTTTCCTGAGCAAATTTAAGGCTTAAGCAGAACAAACGCATTCTACTGAAAACATTATTCTTTTTGTATTTGTTCCAGAACAATACTCAAGCTAGGTTTAACTCGTGCTACCGAAGGTGACTATTATTTTCACAGAAATTTTCAAATGTTATTTTACTTATAAATTTTTCCACTGGAGTTTTCTGCAGTCGTGATAATTACGAACTTGATGCTTGATGTTCAGTCTTTTTCGTGTTTATCGGTGTAGGCACCTTGATAAATGATGCTAAATTTTCTCCAATTATTATTTTTTCAGTTTTATTCTCATTCTGGGAAGCTTTTTAGTGTTTTCGATTATTTTTTAATATTGTTGTTTATTAATTGGGTAAAATATATCTGGTTTTCATTTGGTTGAAATCAATTTACACTTGAACATGATTGACTTTAATGTAGTTCGTCAAAATCATTTGTGGTACGATTAATGTTTGTTATCTACCGATTTTTGATTAGTATAGGTTAACAGTAAATTGTGAAAGGAACGAATCAAACGAAAAAATATATCAACTCAAATTTGGGTAGACGTGCACATGGAAAGTGTACACATTTCACAATAAAAAGCATGCTCTGGTCTTCAATCAAACTTGCATAAAATGAAAGCTTCTGCCGAACTCTTTTGTTACCAAAATAAATATCGGTCAAAATGCTTCTGCCCTAAATTTTTGTTGAACAAGAAAATGAACTCGAACTCCACACATGCCGTAACAATGTTTGACGTAGTTAAAGGCGATTGATACTCCCTGATCCATAACGAGATTTTAGGTATTTACAAATTTTTCGATACTGTTCCGGTTAACTTGTAAACAAATTTTGGACACACAAATTTCTACAATATGAAAAAATTGAGAAGTTCGCAGTATATTTTTAAGAAATTAGAAGTTCTCGGTCTTGAAATCTCCTTATTTAATTAAATAGTTTGTGTTGCGGTCGACTTAAAAGTTGCCACAGACAGCCTGCGCGCGAGAAGACCGCACTCCCCCAAAGCGCAGCCTGGGAGTGTTCAGCCAGTCGGCGATCTCTCCACGAGCGCGCGGCGAGCAATCCTTTGAAACATGGTCCACGTACCGTCTTGATACTGCAAAAACACGATATTAAGAACGAAATATGCTTTGGATCGAATCCCCTTCGTGTAAAGGATAACTTATTTGACGAGAATTTAAGGTTTTTATTATGCATAAGAATATATTTTGCAGAGAGAACTGAGAACGAATTTTTTGAGAGAGAAATGCGCGTGTGAAGTCACGACATTCCCACTTAGGGTACATGACTAAGACTGATGTCACTTGGGAGATGGGTGACTGTTATTGTTTGAGCAGAAGATTGTGTACTCACTCTGACATCACAGAAAAAGAGCTGATTGCTTCTAAAGTATATAAGCTGAATCAGTGGTTTGATTTACTCACTTGAGTCAGTGGAGAGATGTTTGTCCGAGACGCTCATGAGGGTGAGGCTGCCCTCTAAGCCCTCACCGTTGTCCCTGCCGCCGTTGTTCTGGATGGTATTCTGGTGCTGGCATGTTACCAGCACCCCGCCTGCCGGGATCTTCCAACCGCGGCTCTGACAATCGATTGCCGGGTTTAAATTAGATTCCATTGTCATTTTCGGAGAGATTTTAATCAGTTATGCAAAAAAATGCTTATTATAATGTGACAGCGAATTTTCGGCATCTCTTGCTAAATATTGACCTCATGATTTCTTCATCTATCACTCTCGATATCACTCCCGACTCATTTTCTTTCAGTTTATGAATTCATATATCATAAGAAAATTTTATTTTTCAGAAATCTATTGTTCAATCGGTTGGTGGCTCTTCGATTGTTTCCGAGCTAATGATTTTTGTGCACATGAGCAGATAGTGCAAAATGAGTCTAAAACTCGATATTTAATTATGTGATAACCATTAAGATTATATTGAATGCGAACGTCCAATCGTCTAAAGGCTTCTCCCATTTATTTCCCGAACACTAAACGATGCACTAAGCATCTCCGTACCGCGAAAATACGTTAGCTTCTATATAACTAAGTCTCGATCTTCGAACTCCTTGATTTTAATGAGTAATTTCTCGACCACTCACTTGTTGATTGACGTCAGACTCGATGAGATTGCCATTTTGCCACACCGACCACTCGCCCGTTTTTCCGCTCCATGAGTGGCAAAAATGTGTCCACTTACGAGCCTGGAGACGACGAGCTTTACTTCTGTACACATTTTGACCGTTAATGACCAGGGTCCAAAGCGACTCTGACCCGCGATACTGCAACGTAATGTTGTCGTTGTTGACCCTTTCGTCCACTGCACGAGTCAAAGATTGCCAATTAGCCTTATAAATTAAGTAAATTGACCGCATTAATTCTCCCCTGCATAATAGCGGGAGCGCAGCCGTGCACCACCAATTTTATGCACCAATAAGCCCTGAATAGAACGCCTTGGATCTCTCCGGATATCCACCAATCAGCCGTGCACCACTCGGCTTTGTCCTCCTCCGGCCTTGACCACCGCCTGCCGTGCACCACCAAGTCGCAGATCGAATCTGACTTCCGGGCATCGTTAAATTACGTAATTTTCCGTTCACCGCATCTGGGGTTAGGTTTCAGATAGCATAGTTCTGTTCCAAAATTTATTGTCCTTCGACAAGTGGCCGTTCGACCGAGGGCTGGTTCGACCCACGGCCTAGATACGGACGGCTTGAAGTGTTGAAGGCTACGTTCCGGAAGGCAGGAATCATGATGGTCCATTACATCCAGGGCAGTTGTGGTCTTCGGCAGGCGACCCCATAATAGCTAGTACTCCAACTTACAAACTTCTTATGGAAACTATTAGTATTCAACATCCTCATGGAAACATAAACACAGTCATTCAACGCTCTCTATTTTTCAATCCTAAAAATGTATAATTTTGTACACGAAACTTTCGACGCTATTGACTATTTTGGGATTAATTAAAATGGTAAATTAAGACTTGCGAATTCGAACACCTCCGAAATACAACTATCTTCATGACCTTGATAAAAGGTAGTGGAATGTGTTGCCACTGTACCTTTTGTGTTGCCACGTTAGTTATCCTAACGAAAAGAGTTATCCTAACAGTTTGGATATTTGAGGCTCCGTTAATCTGTAGAATACTATCATACATGAACATATTTTCATGTTGGTTACTACCATGCATAGTTTATCATAAAACGATCACTTACTGGCATAGTTGAGCATGGTAGCTGGCCTAAGAGGATCGTCAACCATCATCCAGAAGCAAGTTGAGATCTCGTCCAGTTGGGAAACGTTCGTTGCGAACTGTTCGTACTGCACGAACGGGCTTGTCCTCTGGTGTGGAGTTATCTGCATGTAAATTGTTCATTTAAGTCTTGTACCGTTTATCACTGGTATCACAACCCTATACACAAACCCCTCTTCCTAAAAACTTGATCCACCGCCAAATAAGTACTTGCAACCACTTAAGTTGTGAATATTTTCTCGTCGCACCAATTCACTCGCAATAATGACCTACCACAAAAAAAAACGAATGCTTCAAAACGAAAAGCCTAAAGCTACAGGCCTAATTCCATTGGAGCCTCTTCAATGTAATAATATAGTATATAATATAATTGTCAGCTCTGAAATGACGGTGGTGGTCTGTCGCCTATGCTTGAGCACTCGGCGACCTTGCTGATTTCAACCAGAAACTTCACAACTAGTTTTGGAATTTTAATTTCTATATAACTCGCAAGTTCAATCTGATTTTTACCATTTTACTGCCCCGAGCTTCTTATTCGTAGATAACCCACTTTTCTCATCACGAAGTTCTCTTTTAACTTCTAAAAATGCAGGATTCTCCATCACCGAAAACTGATTTCTTATATTAGCACACGCTTTCACTCAGTATAAAGCCAGTTATTAATACAGTAATCCCTCGCTATCTTGCGCTTCACCTGCCGCAGCTTCACTGAATCGCGGGTTCACAAAAAATATTAGTGAGACAAAACTTCCTGGATCATCGCTGGTTCGTTGGTTTCTGGGGAAGTAGATCGGTTGATTAAAACCGTCCGCGGAACTCAATCGGCAGTGTGGAAGGGTTTGTATTAGTGGAAGGGTTTGTATAAACACTCGATGCAATGAAAGATTATCAAACAACAACGATATAAATACCTAAATAAGTACTATCAGTCGATCAATTGCTTGTCGAGGATTTCACTTATCGCGATTTAGATCTGCGACGTAACACCCGCGAAAGGTGAAGGATAACAGTAAATCCATGCAACAGATGTACGTGCAAACTGCATGCTGTCGCTTACAGTACATAAGCTACTTCAAACTGCGCTCCTCACGCAAGGAACGCACGTTATTTATCAGTCAACTCAGAGAGTGCCTGCTAAATGAAGATGTTATTCATTAATGTTATTCACATTCTCATCGCCGCTCATTTAGTGTCGTCAACGTTAAATTTTATTTCAACTGGTTTGAAATTCGATCGTATTGACCTCGTACAAAACAAAAACAATCTGCGGTAGGAAAATGAATCTTACCTTCATGTAGGGGATCCCGTCGCACTGCCGTTGTCTGTTGCCCTGGCCTCCATAGTCAGGAAACTGGATCTGTCCTTGTACCAGAACTGCCACCAGTAGAATCAAACTACAATTTACAAGCAACATTCTTTCCTACTCTGATGCTGGGAAAGGATTGAGTTAGTCATAGAAACTTACATATAAGTGTTCAATGACCTAGCTTCTGTTTTTGTAATTTTTTCATCCATTTTAGATTTGCGCGCAAGTATTTACGAATCATTGAAATTTTCCCATCATTTCTTAACGAAATACCGATAATATTTCACTTTTTTAGTTCGTCTTGTTCCCAATAAAAGGCCGTAATACATTACAATCGTCAAGTCGCACCAAAGCTTTCATTAAGTTATTCTAGTAAGATAATGCATTATTATGTAATTAAGATAATGCTCAGCATATTATGTATCGTTGGTAATACTGTTTATTGTTATTTCACATTGTGATGCAGGTCAATTGTGTCTCAACTGACGCTTGTAAGAATTATTTTGTTATTTGTAGTACCAAATATATATATTTTTCTCAACACTTTCTTACAGAATTTAGTTCAAAAATTGAACTGTAAATGCCATTTCCTCGTCGCAATACCTATAGTTCTTCGCCTATTAAAATGGCTGTTTGGACCAATCCCTTTACATTCTGTTAATTAGCACCGCATAAGACAATAACCACACAAGCGTGCGCCAACTGCTATTGTGAGAGCGGCAGCGGCAGGCCGTAGTCTTTATGGCGAGCCCAGAGAGAAGCATCCGCCTGCTGCTTCACCTCTGAATGAAAATTAGATTAATATTTGTCAATTTTATGGAAAGTCTGCCTCGCTTGACCCGGTCATAGATTGGAAACCGATTGTATGAATTTGTTAAGGTTTCTACAAGTTCCCTAGGCTTATGGTTCGGTGTTAATGATTTTAAATATTTTCAACGGCACACGCTACAATCTGAATTCGAATGGGATATGTATTTGTATAATAATGGATGATTCCTTGAACTATTTTTGCCTAGGTTTTCGTCTAAAAATCAAAACTTGTAATAAAGTTAACAAATTGCTTTATCAACTGACTCAAATGTCGACACGACACATTGAGAAATGATCTAGTTTGAGAACTTTATGAAGGCGATTTTTCTGATGGAAGTATGGATAATGTACAGCAGAGGCAGGTTTAGTAGAACATGGCTGCCAGTTATTATTGGTATATAGTTTTTATCATGTACCACGTTTGCTCGATGTTTCTGTAATGGTTGCTCAAAATGTATTATGAACTTGAAAATCATCAAAGTAAATAAATGAAGGATAAAAATATTTAAATCATTTTCTTTGCACCGTCATTCAAAGTTCTATGGTTTTTCATGACCTTTCGTAAAACGGGGAGTTTCTTTTAATCAGAATTCGATCTCTTGCATGAAGATTGCTTTTTGTCGTAAAATTGAAGGCAATTTTGATCAAACGTTGGGAAATTTTTTGGATTACTGACTATTTTTTACATATAATAGGAATATATTAGAAACATTTTCTGAAGTTTCTTAAAGATCTATTAATGATTAATCCTTCGGATTGCATGAGAAGAATTTGAAGTATAAACCTCTACATCATTCTCTGATCCTCGATCTTCCTCAGACGGTACTGACCTGCGGGCCGTTCTCCATAAGTAGTTAAGAGTTCGTTATTCGGTCAACGAATAACAGACGGATTTTCAAGCGAAGCCTGCCAATCACAGACGATCTCGGCCGCTACGTGTACTTACAACCGCCCGATAACAATAGCGGCAACTCTGAGCATATAAGCGCGATTTGATAGTGCGGCCTCTGTTACGAAGAAAACCGTCGGCAATCTCAGATGCAGCCATTTTCGTTTTCACTCATTGGTTCAAAGTTGTTACTGTTTTCGAAAATGCCTTAACCTAATTTTTCCCTCATTGAAGTACGTTCCACAATGCACAATAGGTTTGCTTATCGAGACATTCTATGTATTTTTCGTAGCATGTTTACAGGTTCTTGTTCTTATCACCGCGTGAGGACTTTCCGGTGTTTATGAACCACTAAAGGAAATACGGGAATTTTCTGGGGGAATTGCTATTCAATATTCTTATATTGAATAGCAATAGCAAAGCTTAATTACAGCTTTACACTGTGTTGCAATGTTGTTTCTGTTCTATCATTCGTAATAATTATCAGAATTTCAGAAAAGTTTAAATATATTTAATTGATGTTCTGCCAAACCAGAAAAGAGGAAGACGACTCGAGACTAATAGAAATGTATTACTATCCGATATTGGAATAAATAGCCTTTATATGGTGTAATTCGACAGAAACCTTTCTTTTATGCAAGTTTGATTGAACCCGCAGCATGCTTTTTATTAATAATAATATTAACATTAATAATAACAGCAGTTTAAGCGTTCATTAGGTCGTAGACCTGACGCCGATTCTTAACAGCGTAGAATATTCACAGCTTGTTGCGGTCTCGAACACGCAACTCACAGCTCCAATTCTGCTGTGCTTAACTGCCCGGCCTCCTCGCCGATTCTGACCAGAAACACGCGCACAGAGCTGGGATTGAACCCGCGCAGCTCTGTTCCACTCCTGGTACTCTGAACTGTAACCACTGGGTCACCCTGCCCACAATCAAACAATTACAACAACAGTTATTACCAATCTTATTTGTTTTTTCAATGAGTCGAACAAAATTTCTTGCTGGCGCCGGGAGATCAAAAAGCAGGTTTCCAAATGACATTTTAATGGAATGTGACGTTTCGAAAGACAATATTCATTATCAAGCAGGTGAAGGGTTTTGCAACTCTTGAAATTGAACTTTTGGAAATGACAGTAGTTCAAATCAAGGGTATTGTGGATATAGTTTGAAGTCTAAGCTTAAAATTACTCTGATAATAATTTCAGCGTCCGGACGAGTTCTGTAGTTTGGAGGTTGATAGCTGGAGACTCGTTCTTGATAATGAGGGCCTCAGCTATCGCCAGTCGCGATGGGTCGGGGCACCGCATAACTATGCTGGTGCCGGCCTCCACTGTCGCTAGGGTCATGGCCTCATTATGAGCCTTCCGCATGTGGTTCTTAGGTCCTTCAGAGTGTAGATGGCATGTGAATCGTAGGCTTAAGGTCTTGATAATAAGACCAATGTCGTTTATATTTTGAAGAAGTCTACAACCTTCTGCATTAACATGAAAATTTACAAACGACATTAGTTTCTTGAAGCAGTCCAGAAATTTTAAAATTGATTATTATTCATGCATGACAAGGTTTTTAATTTTCTTATTTTTGTAGTAGATCAGAAGTGTTATTTTTTCGTTATCCGTTGTTCTCTTGATATTATTATGGATGATTGACTGTAACACTCGTTCATCTACTTTGTGGCCTATGTTCATCTTTTTTGGTGATAGATTGTTATGACGGTTCCCTTAGATATTGCTTCTTTGTTGGTAAGGTTTTCTTTCGATCGAAAACTTGATATTTCAGTGTCAATAGTTTTATTTGAAAACTAATTACTTACTAAAATTAGTTTAAAAGTTTTGAGTTCAGTTTTTAAATTCCTTTAGGATGAGCAGGTCTTGAATGCTCTCTGTATGAGAGCTCGCACAGTGCTGGTTTTATAGCGTTGAGGGCATTCATTCATTTTCTTCATTTAGCACTTTTCCGACAACGCTAGATTTTCGGTAAACATTAGAGACAAATGAATCATCTTCAATTCGCACTAATATATCCAGGAGTGGCAGTTTATGATTCTGTCAAATTTCATGGGTAAACTTTAAATCTGAAACATGTTCCAAAGCTCTTCGCAGTTCATTCAAGTGCTCTTCGTCTCGAATGGCAACGAAAATGTCATTTACGTATCTGCAGTAAAACTCAGGCTTGATCTGTGCATTGAGTAACACTCGAGTTTTTTGTTGGCTCCAGCTAGCAATTGATCTTTAGAGTTTGGGCTGATTTCAATTTTTATCATTCTCAAGTTTTAGTAGCTATTCTTACAATAACACGAGTTCAATTCGATTCTTCGTCATGCTGAATTTTGATCACTTGTGACAATTCAGTCAAGGTTTAGGAGTTCGGCTTGCTACTTGCTTAGAGTTTGAGAAGATAGGTTTATGAAACCATTGGTAGAGTGTGGTCGGCAGATTTATCCTCTATAGAGGCTATTTAGATTCGGAAGAGTGTGGAGTTCCACACTTTTGTCGTAGGTAAGCTTGCTCAATTCTTTGGTAAACTTGATACGAAGTTGAGGGCTTGGAATGTATTGGGGTATACGATGAATATTTTCAGAGTTTTCAAGCTTTATATTTTCGATTTCGCTGCTACTAATTTTAATTTGCGTAGAATTAATTATTTTCTGTATCTCGCTGTAATTGTTTCATTTCATGCTGCCGGGTCGTAATTGCGAAAATTATCATTCTTTTATAGAGTTCCTTCCCAGATAAAAAAATTTGGTCATATACTAGGGCTTCGTAACTTTTTTTTGTGGTAAAATATACATGCATTAAAAAATTAGTGGCATGATGAATTATAATTATTGTAGGGTCTATAAATTGTATGAGGAGCGAATCCTACAAAAAAAATTAGTACCCTAAGTCATACAGGGAGCGTAGCCGTGAGTAACAAAATTGACTCGTAAACAGGCCCTGGGCCCAACGCCAACCATCAGCATGCAATATCTACACATAGCCTCAGATCAATGAGCTGTGGGTAACTCCGGCTAACAGTAAATCCGCTTTGCACAACACAGCCACTGCTTCAAAGCGCCGGAGCGCAACAGGCCCTACCGCAACAGGCGCAGGTTAGGTTAGGTTACGTTAGGAGTAGCATGTTACGGTAGGGCCTGTTGCGCTCCGGCCAGTTGTGCTCCGGCGCTGTGAACCAGTGCCTGTGACTGAACGGCGATGTTGTGGTGGGCGCTTTGTGTCAAAAGCCGTGAAGATGCTCGGCTGCGTTACGCTCGGGAAGGTATATGAATCGCACTGTGGACTTGGGCTATGCTGACCTCTAGCTATCCACCCAGTCATACAACGGTAGAAACATCCAGGTAATGTACACTGTCAAGGCCTTCACATTGCGCGATATGCACAGGATTTCATGAAAAAATTATTCCGTGTTATAATTTTATTGAGCTACATTTGAAAGTATTATTCCCTACATACTCGCACAATCAATAATATTTGAACAGGTTAAAACGCTAAAGGTATTTCCAATCTATCATAAAATTTTTGGTTCTCTGAAAACAACTTGAATATTTCAATTGCATAGAAATATTTGAATATTTCTATTTGATTTGAATATTTCTATATATGAAATTTGAATATTTTTATATATGAAATTTGAATATTTCTATTGCATAGAAATATTAAAATTTCCAAAATTAAAATATTTCCAGAAGTGTTTAGACGTATGTTTAAATTCGCGGTCAACTCAGAAGTTGCCACAGACTGGCTGTGCGCGAGAGGACCTCACTCCGCCGTACCCCAGCCTGGGAGTGTTCAGCCAGTCGGCGATCTCTCCACGAGCGCGCGGCGAGCAATCTTTTGAAACTTGATCCACGTACCGTCTTGATTCTGCAGGAATTTGATTATCAGTGTAGAGAACGACGCATGCCGAACCCACTGAATTGGATTCCATTATTCTATCAGCAAATTGTCTTTTTCTTATTATTTAACAGAATTGTAGAGAACGACGTGTGCCGAATCCACTGAATTGGATTCCAATATTGTAGCAGCAAACCACAATTTTCTTGTAATGTAACAGGATGGACGATAATTAGTAGCAAAGCTTAAATTTGAAAAAGGTTTGAGATCGCTTAATTTATAAGAATTTGATGTTGTACCGCAATTTGAACGAGGAGAAGACTCTGAAGTCTGAACTACTCTCACGACGATGCACGACACGTCTCGGCTACGCCGTGGCTTCGCAATGCTCACAGTTTAGCAACTATAAGACCTCGTTTTGCAAAAAGAATAATTGCGTGCGATCAGCCGTTACAGTAACATTTTCGATACGTTAAGAAGACGGTGGTTCATAGAGAGTTTAAAGATGTGCCATGGAAGGGGAGGGTGTGCGAGGTTATTTTAGGTGATATTATGATTTTCTTCAGAAATCAGCTTAAACTGAAATTTAATTTTGAGTCTGTTCTTTATTAAATAAATATTTATGTATCGACTCACTGGGGTCAGTGGAGAGATGTTCGTCTGAGACGCTCATGAGAGTAAGACTGCCCTCCAAGCCTTCGCCGTTGTCCATGCCCCTGTTGTTCACGATGGTATTTTGGTGCTGGCCTGTTACCAGCACGCCGCCTGCAGGTATCTTCCAACCGCGGCTCTGGCAACCAAATTTTACTTTACGATTCTGTGAGATTAACTCATCTAAAATGGTTGGTTCATAATATAATCCGTACGAAGGGCAAAACCCAAAGATTTGTCAGAGTGTCTAGCCAATAAAGATTCATATTTTGCATGAGGGAAACCATGGGTCTCCATGATAATCTATCCATTCAGGAGTGAAAGTATTTTGGTTTCAGATGAAAACTACTAGCTTCTACCGATGTGAAAATCCTGCCAAGGGTCTCTAAACTATTTGGTCCCATTTTCTTCCTGTGACCTCAATAATAAAGAGAAATAATAATGATAGTCAATTTCAGCTTCTATGTGCACTTTTATTGAACATATGATTGTCCCGTCAAGCTGTCTCGAGTTCACCCTGACTTGTATTTTTTGAGTTTGTGAATTTTCTTGTGAAGTGGGATCGTTCATTTATTGTTGCTGTTTATAAGGGGTTTTTACATACATGCAAATTATTAGCCACTTTTCTACTAGCATCTCTCCAGGAAACACATACCCGGAGTTTTCTTTGGACACCGCCCAAGCTATCACCTTCGATGCCTGCCACGCGCCGCCCTACAACGACACCGAGTAATGAACTGAGCTCTCCAGTCTCCAAAGCTATTACAACATCCCCCTATTAGGTTCAAAAGTCGAGTCGTCAAGTCTCGAGTCCACATTATTCGAACAAATGCTGCACCATGCACGACGCACCTGTATACCACGAAACTAAGTTCTTTTGACGAGGTCCTAATCATAGAATTCACAGATGGTTTACTCCTCGATAGTCCAACTCACTGCCTTGTTGATTCCAGACTCGACGAGCTGACCACTCTGCCATACCGACCACTCGCCCGTTTCTCCACTCCAGGAGTGGCAGAAATGTGACCACATACGAGCCTGGAGACGACGGGCTTTACTTCTGTACACATTTTGACCGTTAATGTCCAGGGTCCAAAGCGACTCTGAGCCGCGATACTGCAACGTAATGTTGTCGGTGTTGACCTCTTCGTCCACTGCACGAGTTGATGTTAGACAATTAATAAGTGGAAATGCAGCTTAGGTTGTTAGCAGCCTTTGTGAAAAAAGTTAGTGTACCTTGTTGCCTTTACAAAACTTCATTAGAACAGTCTTATTCAAACAATTGGGATATTTAAAGTTCATGCCCCTAAGTAGAATGAATCCATACATGGCCTTTTCAGCTAGAAAGTTACTCATGAGCAAAGTAGTCTATAGCACCAGCGGAGATGACTTGGTATAAACATAGCACCAGGTAATCGACTCCCAAGCATAGTTGTGCATGGTTGCTAGTAAACGACTTACAGGCATAGTTGTGCATGGTAGCTGGTAAACAACTCACAGGCATAGTTGAGCATGGTAGCTGGCCTAAGAGGATTGTCAACCATCATCCAGAAGCAAGTTGAGATCTCGTCCAGCTGGGAAACATTCGTTGCGAACTGTTCGTACTGTACGTACATCCTCTGGTGAGGGGTCATCTGCGCAGAGATGTTTGTACGAGTCAACCATAGAATGTTTAGGAGAGCAAGGTATGTTAACAGGACCCTTACCGTAATGGTAATAGCGGGGTCAGTGTTAGGCTATCAGACCTGCCGCCTATTCTTAACATCGCAGAATTTGCACAGCTTGTTGCGGGTCTGGAACATGCACCTCATTAGTCAAATTTTGCTGTGCTCAACCGCCCGGTCACCTCGCCGTCTGACCAGAACTGTTGCAGGTAGCTTGGATTGAACCCACAACTCACTGCTTCAATCTTAGTACGGTACTCTAAACTGTAACCACTGGGCTGCCCTGCCCCTAAAGCTGATATTTAGTGAATTGAAATCTCTTCCAGAAGAGATATATATTACTCTTTCACTGTCCATCAGCAATCATCAGCCAACCGTTCCAAAATAACACCGACTCTGGTCATTCCAAAGAATTACAACATGAGCATATATATATATATATATATATATATATATATATATATATATATATATATATATATATAAAAGTTACGCCTCAGATACTAAAAATGGCGCGCTTTCCTAATTTTTTATATATACTTTCTTGCAACATTTTCCTGTGTAATTTTCAAAGTAGATCAATAGAAACCTCGCTAAAGTGGTACATTTCTGTTAATTCTGTATGGAGCAAGCAAGTTATTAATGCGCAATCGTTGGTTTTATAATAATAATCTATTATCTAATATAATATGTAATAATAATATGATCTCATTGGTAATAGGTATTTAGCATTGGTAATATGTAATAAAATGCATGGTCTAATACAGCGGTTCCCAAAGTGGGCGATATCGCCCCCCTAGGTGCAGTGGAAAGAATTTGGGGGGCGGTAAGGAAGAAGAGGGTGGTAGGGGGCGGTAGTCCGAAGTCAATGTCAGAAGTTCGAACGTTTGTTTGACGATTATTTGTACACAACACATGCAGCACACGACTCCCAGCCATGGTTTTTTCACCAGATCTGTCTTTTTAACTTCTCTTGGGTGTACGTCTCGGACAAATTAACGGCTCGTCTCACGGCCAATTAACTCGCGGCCAATTTCCAAATTCAATGATCAAGGAATATCTCCAAAACTAATTAACTTAACTCGCTGAAACTTAGTACACGTATTCATTAGGACCTAACTATAATGTTTTGCTCGTGAAACTTGTTTGAATTTTGCCATCGTACGTTTGTTTTTGCCATAGTTATATGACAATACGGGCCAAAATTCACAGTGATCAAGTAATTTCTTTCAAATTACTGAACAGATTCCAACGAAATTTTGAATTTACAGTCCTTACTACCGAACGTTAATGTTTAGCTCGTGAAAAATTTTTCTATTGTGCCTTCGTTCGCGATTTTTTTTATTTCACTTACATTCGTGATTTAAACAGCAGTACGTGCTTAAATTCGCAGTAATCAAGAAATTTTTTCAAACTACTCAATAGGTTTGAACGAAATTGAGTATTTAAATACCTAACCTCAGCAATGGTTATGTTTACAATTTTTTCGTTTTGCCTTCGTATGCGAGTTATACGGCTATACGTATAAGGCTCTTGGTTAAACCGGCCGGCAGAAAAGCCGGTCGTTCCTCCTAAATCTTTATAGCTCGCGAACGAAAGCAAAATAGAAAAATTGTCACGAGCTAAACATCACCGTTAAGAGGTTGCATATTTATATTCAAAGTTTCGTTGAAATCTGTTTTGTAGTTTAGATGAAATTTCTTGATCGCCGCGAATTTGAGTGACAAATTACCCGGCCATACGGGCCGAATATAAGGAAGTGTGAAATCAAGAATGACAGTGAAATGGAAAAAAAACTCGCAAACGAAGGTAAAACCGAAAAAAATTAAAGCTAAAAAATCACCGTTCGGTAGTTAGGAATGTATATTCAAAATTTCGTTCAAATCTGTCCAATAGTTTGGAAGAAATTCTTTGATCACTGCGAATTTCGGCCTGTTTCGCAATATACGCGTGTAACTCAGCAATGAAGGTGAAATTAGAAAAAAATTTACGAGCTAAACATCTCCGTTAGGTTTTGGTGAATACGTGTTCCAAATTTCATAGAGCTGCGTTCATTAGTTTGGGAGATATTACTTGCTAATTGAATTTGGAGATCGTGAGACCGGCCACGAGTCCGGCCGTAAATTCGCCCGCGACGTCCTAGGTTTCTAGTGCTGAAACAATTAAAACAGCTGAAAAACATATTGGTTCACTAAATTGGGTTATATTTGTGAAATACACTTTGTGTTTAAACTTTATCTTTTAAAATTGCAGCGTACTAAATTTCAAAAAAGAGGCGTATGTCTGTGGGGGGCGCTAGAAATTCACTAGGGAGCCAAAGGGGGGCCAGCCTGAAAAAGTTTGGGAAACACTGGTCTAATAGGTAATCTAAATCACACAATGATTTCGTTTATAACGGATTAAAGTTATATTTTATTGAACTCCATTGAGCATAATATTAAGAGGAAGAAAACGAATATTACCTTCATGTAGACGACCCCATCGCACTGCCGAGGTCGAATGGAGGACTGGAACTGTCCTTGTATCAGAACTGCCATCAGTAAAATCAAGCTACAATTTACTATCATCATATTGTCGTCTTTTCCTTCTGAAAAATAAATTGATTATCATGGCATTATTTTCAGATATTTATCATTTTATCCAATGGCAGCACTTTCTTATCTATTGTGCGATTTTTAATTCTACCGAATATTATTATTTTGCATACAAATATTTTAATTCACCAATCTAAAATTATATAATATAAAAAATATTTTAGAGATGACTTGCTTCAACTATAACTCTATCATTCTAATCAATAGTTCCTTCGCAGTGTATATCAACGTGCTATATGGTAGGTTGAAAAGGTATATTTTTTCTTGAACACATGGCATAATTTCCTCCCATCAGTTTGTCCCCTTTTAAATTCAAATTTTAACCTATATAATTATTTATTAATTACCACCGCATATGACTATAACCACACAAGCGTGCGCCAACTGCTATTGTGAGAGCGGCAGCGGCAGGCCGTAGTCTTTATGGTGAGCCCAGAGAGAAGCATCCGCCTGCTGCTTCACCTCTGAATGAAAATTAGATTAATATTTGTCAATTTTATGGAAAGCTTGCCTAGCTTGAACCCATCAGGGGTTGAACCCATTGGATTGGATTGAATTGTGGTGGTGCCTGCAAGTTCGTTGGGCCTCTGGTTTGGTGTTGATCAGCTTTTAAATGACGCATTCTAATAAGCAATGTGAATTTGATGCGGAAAACATTCTGCAGTGTCTGCTCTAAAGTTTTCATTTGAAAGAGGGCTACAAAACGATCAAAGTAGTATTTTCATGGGATGCAAAGTTTGCAATTCTTTGTATCGTTTTCGTCTGCGCTGCGGTAAAAAGTTCTAATATTTATTTACGGGAAATTTTCTTCCATTGCAGTTGTTAACAGTTCTGCTGCATAGAGATAGCTTTATCTCGCATCTTTCAAATATTACTCAAATAAAATAATTTCAAATATAATATAATAATAGTAATAACATCTATTCAAATATTCAGTGACTGCTATTTTGTGTCAATATTTAAAGTGAAGTAGCGGCTTTCAGAAATCTAAAATATGGCCTTCTTAGTGCAACGTGATCTGAATCTTGAAATATTTAGTCAACACGATATTATGAAGATCGCACTTCTTTACGACGCTTATGGCTTCTGACGAGGGCGGTCTTCGGTAAGCTTAGCTTTTTGCCTTCAGCCGTTAATACTTTCCTATATTTTACAGCATGAGGCTTCTATGCTTAACTATTTTATATTAATTTTTAGTTGGTTTCAATAATTTCTCGACTTATTTTTTTCATGTTTACCTACTTTTCCTTGTCCTAGTTGGCACCACCAGTAAAATGATTTTCTGTTGACCTGAGCAGAATCGTAGCATGTTTACCAGCTGTTGCTATTACCCTTATCGCCACATGGACTCTTTCCGGTGTTTACGAACTACGGTAAGAAGTACGGGGATTTTCAGTGGATTTCTAATGCAATTCTCGATTTTGCATCGTTCTTAAATTTGCCCATTTATAATTTCATTTTACTGGCTTTGATGTGAACTTGTAAAAAAATCCGGGTCGTAAATTTATTGATTAGGAGGAATACGGACTGTCCGGTAAGTCTAGCAGTAATCAACCGTTATCGGATATGATCAAAATTGTTAATTTATTCTTAATTGATGCATAACCAGGCGCAGGATGTTTATTCTAAAACTGTGTTGCTGTGGCAAACATTCAATATTTACTCGGTGAGAATATATGCTGTCGGCTTTTTCAGTCGAGTTGATCCATTATTCATCGAATGAACCTGGAAATCTCATTTCGTTTACAATCCAGTAAAGATTTTCAACATTGGATATATTTATGTTCTTATTGATTTTGTAAGACTGCACAAAACAGCATGAAAGCGCCACGTTTTACACCATTTTCTCCATATTTTCTTTTTCTCACCAGGTCCGTCGGGATCAACTCGTGGCTTCTTTCGGGCTAACCTTGGCACCCTGGCGCTGAAACAAGTTCGACTATTTGCAGGCATTGCCATCAATGAGGTAAGCTTGATGCTCTTCGTATTTATCTGTATATGTGCGCGTTAGTTCAAAAAGGCAGGTATTTTTCGAGGAATATTCGCGTTTACTGATAGATTGGTGAAGTCGAGATGGTTGATATGCGATGTCTGTCAGAAAGTGATGGGTATCCTGACGAATTGAGTGGTTCAGTTGAGTCGTGTGCGTTTCTCATGTTAATGAAGCTGCCCAACAAAAAGAAACAAACAAATTTTCCAAGACATTAGCGAAACAGTAACCTTCGGAAACGCATGCGATGTTCCAGTCCAAAGCGGAGCTGAGAAATACACCAAGCGTACACTCTTCGAAGGAAGGCATCGGGTTTGTCATAACTGCGCATTTTGGGGAAATTGGTTTTCTTAGAGTATTAGAAGGTCATCTTCGCAAATCAATTAAGGTCTTGTGTAGAAGGGTTAAACAGAGTTCATTCAGCACAAGTTTACTAATCAGGAGTACAGCGTCTACGGACTAGAGTATATCTAAAACCAAGCTCAGCTTATATTTAGTTATGTGAAAACGTGCGGTAAATAAGCAAGGTTTTTTTCTGGAAAGCGTCCGTCCCTCGTTTTATTCGGGCAGTTTACATTATGGTTGACGTAAGAGGCTTTTCGGGATAATGTGAGAACTATTTTAATCTTGTTTGTAGATACAGGCAAAAAGATTAATTTGCGTTCATTGCTTTATGGTGTACCAATTGGTGCAAAATCATTGAGTAACAATAGACTCACTCTGTTTTACAACAAACGTCACGAACAGGCTTACAAGCAGGCCGAACAGATTTTGTGGACATATTTCGCACTTACAATGAGAACCATACTGACGATAAACGTAGCGTGTATAGAATAATTTAGACCGCTCACCTTTAAATGTTTAGAAAACCATTGTTGATTACCAACTAGAATACATTTCATTTTAAGTCATTATGAGTTACTCCAGAATTTTCATTGCAAATGAAAGATTGACTATAAAATATATCCGTATAGGATATATAAAATATATATCCTATTTCCCATTCCGCGGAAAAACTCGCGGTACGAAACTTTGGAAAAAATAAGTGCTTGTGTAAGAACCCGCTGGTGTAATCCCTGAGTAACTCCGATCTATAGGGTAATTACGACAGACTGGCTCCATTTGAATAGACTTTCTAGAGCACAAAACTATGATCATGATCACGAGGAAATTTTAAACTATAATCTGTCACTGAAATGAAATCAGCAAGATGATACACGTCTAGGAACTCACGTCCGCACTTCTATCAAGTGACACCAATTTCTATTTACTCTAGGAAAGTCTGAGGCTTTTTCTCAAGAAGATCAAGTTGAAATCTTTATCAAACAACAAACGCAAACCAATGAAATTTCATGCATGGGCCACAGTTTAAAATCCGAAACACCACCTACATTCAAACACCAAGAGCAAGTTGACTAAAAATTCCTAGGAGCATGCAAAGGGCAAATTTTACCATTGCAATGTCATTTCAGTGAATGCAGTCACAATCACATGGTGCACCTTTTTCGAAAAAATTTCTCAGACGACTCCAAGACGAACGGGTTTTAATTTGCTACGTAGGACAATTGCATCAACTATAACCTGGTATGGCAATGGCTCCACCCAATACCTGAAATTAAGATTCACAACATTTGCCAGTCATGGGTATGAGTAAACACAGGTGAGAGGTAGAATGAGGTGGTACATAGACACACAGATTTTGCATCATGCATCATCTTAATTTCCGATAATTATCGGACCACAATCTTGTACGTACGTACACTTCATAATTTCCATGATGAAACTAGTGTGCGCACACGACAGCGTTAGGACGATGCGGGTACCCCACGCATGGTAATAGCACCTCATTCAGGGCACGCGGATACGTAAGCAACAAGCATCAATGTAACCTCAATAATAATATCTATTACGACGTCGAGGAGTGTTGAAAATTAGCAAGCATAGAAAAATATTCTAAAAAAATTAACAATGTCTCCCACATTATAATTATATATAACTACGGTACTAACTCCCTCAGTATAAAGCTATTAATATGAAAAGCATCAATCGCGCACACACAAACCTAGTTTAGTGTACACAAACATCTGCAGAAGAAAGGTAATATTAATGTAACTAGATAATTCTTCTAACTCAACAAGAGGCGACAGACAGTAAATACATGCATTGAATACTTAAACCAAATAGGCTTAAACGTCATGATAGAAATCTCAGGGATATTCCCACACGCAACAAAAACTTGAGTTTGTACACGATTAGAATACACAAGTAGGATGTGACAAGGCCTTGCTTCTCAAAATCTTGCGCTACACTTCGATCTAAAAATGAACAGTTGTTCTTTTCCAGAGGAAAATTTCGTTTCGTAAAGTCTGAATAAAATAATTAGGGAAGGTCAATTCAGAAGACAATATTTCGAAATATCAGTCGGATTTATGTATTCAAGTGAATGATTGAGAGATGAATTAAAAGTCTCATTAAGTACACTAAAGGAAATAAAAAAATCTTGGCTTTTTTGTCAGGTTGACCGTCCAACAAACTAGAACTATTTCTTCGCTAGCCCGACGCTAACATCTCATCATTAATTACAGCTACACGAATAAGATTATCAACAATTCTACTCTGACGGTCGGTAAACAACACAGCCCGTTAGAAGTCTATGTATAGATATCACCAGCATACCACTCTCACTGCGGTACTGCCGTTATGGCGGCTACGCTCGCCATCTCGAGAAACTATTCATCACAGTTAACACGCCGTGTTCTCAACACTAGACATAGAAAGGTAATCTCTGATTTGCTGTACGTATAAGTGAGTTTTTTTTTTTCATAAAAATGGTATGACTGAAAGGCCTGAAATTGCTATGCCAAAGATGATGCATAAATCATATGACATTTAAATTTACCTCTGAGTAAAGAACTCGAGAAAATAAGGTTATTCTTTTGATCTCTTGTCCCGACAGCACTTAATCAAATCCTAGTGTCCAGTGATAGTGATTCACTTGATGTCTGCGAGTTCCGATGTATGTTGTAGGGTTTAGTGAAGGTATTGGCATGCTGGTTATGGTTAAGCATAATGGAATTAGGTCACTAAAATAATTAAAGAAACGTTCTTAAGTTAACAATTAATTTTCTTAGCAGATAGAGCTTAAAGCGAATGAACATAAATAAAATATTAACTAGTCCAGTCTCATGCACCATTAAAATTAACTACGGATTTACTGAGCAAAATAAAGATTGAAGTTCCTCATTCGCGGAATACATTCATTTTCAATTATTTTTTTTTTGATAAAGCATGAACTGAATCATTTTTGGTGCTTCTGATGGAGCTAAGGCTTATGACAAATTACGAAGCAAATATTATCAGCTGCAATAGGCATCTGCCTGCTGAACAAAATTTTAGGACGCTTAAGCTTGGGAGTAAATCCATTATTTAAACGTAGAGCGCTTGAATTCTTTATAAAGCTATAACACAATTTTCAAATACAGAGATAAACGATGAAAATACCGCCTAATGTCTGGAGTTTGTCCTGTAGTGATGTTTAGTTAGCTGGGGCATTGATATTCAAACGCGCATTACTCTTGTGCTCTTTGGTGGTACTGAACCTTGTTTCTTCCATTCCGCACTTGCGACTGACCGCGTACTTGCACAGCACAGTGTTACCGCTACAAGCAGAGACGCGTTTGCATTTTGAATCATTAACATAAACTTCCCTGGATTCACTTTCATCATTTTCCTGAGCCACTGCTGAAAATCCTTGTTCATATTTATGCGCATCTTCGTCTGTCCTTTGTGTATTCTCAACGACGTCGTGTCCCGTTAATTGAGCAGGTGCAGCGACTGGCGAGGGATCTGCAGCAGTAACAGGAGCAGGTTCTGTGTTCAGCGAGGCCACTGAAGCTGTAAATCTGTTCGAACTCAGTAATCTCATGAGGAACGACTTGCCACTGCTGGGGCAAATTGTGGTGGCTGACGAGGTAATTACACTGCTGGAGGGGCTCTTGATGCTACAAATGGGTTCACTACTTGATACAATTACGATGGACTCCCCGGAACGAGGCTTTGCGTTCACAGGGTTAACGTCAAACAATGCATGATCATTCACATTACTGACTTCAATATGTGCATCATTCGTGTTATCTTTCGTACTAGCTTGATCAATTTCGTCAGATATACTGTCCATCATAGGGAGAAGTGTGCAACTGGTGGTGATTTTTTTGTTAGCCTCGTGCTTCTCACAGTCGGACGACGTATCATGAAGCCTCAACTGCGGATCACTCTCGGTGCTGTCATAACCAGGCACATCACTGGCCGCAGACGAGTCACCATTTTCGCCATTTGCATTGGATAAATTTAATTCATCGGACATCACCGGCACTATCTTAGCTAGAAGAGCTACTGGTTTTAGTGTAGCTGTCGGTTGCGTCGGATTAATGGACGATGGTAACTTCATTTGAGGTTTCTCGTTATTTACGTCATAATTTCTACATACTTCCGCGTCATTTCTCTGGATGATGGATGACGTGTCGCAGTGGTGAGGTTGAATCCTGTCTTGCCAGCGAAAGTCTTCATTGAGATTAGAATTCGTGGTAGTTGCGGCGAGTCCGCACAGAACGCAACTCACTTTACCTATGCATTTAGTTGCAGTTCCCTTCAAGTTTTCATGATGGATGGACTTTACAGTACATGAAGAACCTAGCCCAGGCCTCTGATTAGAGAACGAATAACGAATTTGGTGTGAATTACAATAAATTTCATCTAAAAATTTTCCGTCATATTTTCTGGAATGGCTTGGTTTGTCAACGATGACATGACATTCACCTGGCGAATCACAGCCGACTATAGGACAGCGGAGAGGAGCTTCAATCAGGTTTAAGGTACTGTTACAGCCTTTCCCGTGTAGATATCGTGCGGTAATTTTAGCAGATAATTCTAATGGCTTCTTTTGTTTTCGATGTTGTGATGGATATATTCTATAACTCGAACTTGTAAGCCCAAAGCCATGCTTTGAATCAGGTACAGCAAAAATGCAATGCTTTAACTTTTCTCCTGTTACTACGGGACACAACGAAACCTTCGGCGTACACAAGTTACGTTGTTTCACGCTTATTTTACTTAAATTTGAACACATTTTGGTACTGACTTTCCTGCTTCCTACTTTACACAAGCACGTGTTGGAATCAAACTCGCATAAATGTTTCATTGCAGATTTATGATGAATAGAAATGGCAAGTTTTGCATCGTCACAAGACCTGGTCTTCTGGAGTACCCTCTGTCAGTTAACTCTACTGCAGCTGCCTCTACAGCCCGTGCTTCCATTAGGGCTTGATGACACAGGGCCAGCGACGCGACTACACTTCGACAATGGCGAGAACTGCTCGGTCAAACCAGATCTTCTCATATAAACACTTGCACCTGTGAAGCTCAAGGCTGCGTTGTCACCATTTCTACTGCAAATAGAACCGTTTCTGGGAGTATTCACCGGTGTTATAGTAGCTGATCCCGATGCAGAGCTTGACTGAGATGTGGAGTTCCGAGTTGTATTTTCACCAGATAATTCTGACGCGAACGCGTCAGTAGTTGATCCGCCATCAATACAAGAGATGGTGCTCGGTGCTGGAGCCACATGTTGATGCAGCGTAGAGTAGCAGGAGCGGCACACTCTCACTGGTTGGTAGAAATGTTCCCGGGGCACCGCCGCTGACTGGCCAGAACAATTGCTACAGAATACCCCGCCACAGCTCCTGCACAACATAATTACGCGTTATTACGTGTAGAACTTATCGATAAATAATTGCATGTTGCCCTGGTACAAAGCTAATAAATAGCTGAAATAAAAGTGAAGGAAATGCAGGTATTCCAAGAAATGAAATCCTAACTAGTACTCTCACTGACTACTGCAATGCCACTACTTGTATCTTCATGATTTCTCATATTTATTCTAACTCAGTCGCGTATTACCAAATTTCACAGATGCGACAATTAACCTGCAATGATGCTTTCGAAGTCCAACCCAGAACTTGGCGTGACAAGAATGACAGAAGTTAGCGGTGTGATCAGGGACCCAGAGGGTGGGCACTCGGCCCATAATGGTGACCCCCGGGGGCACGGTGCCGTTGTTTTCACAATCACGAGAGCCGTGTGTCGTTGGGGGGTCGTCAGGAACGAGGTTCTCCCACGACGCGTCCGATATGCCACCAGATTCGACGCTACCACCACCGCAAGAACTTAACGAGTTCGCAGATTCGCCCACTGAATTCTATTCGTGATAAAATCATGAATATGTTTAGATTATGACTATTGACGAGGCATTTGGTATAATTAACGATTAACATAGGTCATATATTTTACTATTGCAAATGGTGAACGAAAATGTGTGAAACAAAAGCTATAATTTGTTGACGTTTATTTACAGGTGCGGTCGTTGACTGCCACAAGAAGGATCATCTAACATGGCTCTACGCCACCTATCGCTTCGGACATAAAGTGATTCTACCATTTTGTTCTTAACTCTGGCATCATGAGCCACTACGAAACTGTGGATGGACGATTGAAAATTACCGCTCTAACCCTCCACCGCAGTATGTCAATCTCCGCCGTAATGATCCGGTTACTAATGTCAGGCGGTAGAGTGATAATCAATGATTGAAATGATTAAAAATTATAATTTCCTTGAAACTGGAAGGGGAGCGTTGATAAAACTTCATCCTTAAAATAATTTATTAATGTATTCTAGGCAAGCCTAGGTTGGGCTTAGGGCTACCAATGTAGGTATCATGCTTCTATGCTTCCAGTCAATCTATTTTCATATCCTTTAAAAGTGATTAATATGCTGGGCATTAGTTAGGTAATTTCAAGAAACGATTTTTTCAAACGCACAGCTTAAAAATCGATTACAGAGGCGTTCTAGGGATATTTATTACAAACTTTAAACTCCAATTCAATCATTTTGATATAAATATGTTTGAATACAATACAACTCAATGCTAACTCAGTTATAAGCGTTGTCATTGGCTGGCGCTTGAACCATTTGGTGAGGCTTGACTCACAAGGTCGAGGTCGTGCGCGGCAGCAGTGAGCTGGCGCGCGGTGCTGCAATGTGCCGTGTGCTGCAGCTGCTGTTGCAGTGCTCTCTGCGTCACCGCCAGTTGGTCGCGCAGATTCGATACTTCAGCCTGCCGAGCATAAAACAATCACAATATTCAGAGACATTTGTATTAATTGATCAATACTTTTGATCATTAGTTCTAACGTATGCATCATCCCTGAGTTGTAAGCTCAACTGAATCTACAATGAAACCATTAACGTTTGTCAAACATAATAGCATTGTTTTAAACAATTCTATTTCATCTACGTTCCTACGCATTGTATTGGTGATGTCGATGCCGGAGAATATCACGAAATGCGATAAAATTTATAAAACCGAGTCATCGTAGGACGTGGGTGTTATCTGGTCCAATGTTAGCCTATATAAAAAAAAAAGAGTATTTATCAATATACCTGATGCCTCGTGAGGAGCTGATGCACCATCGCTTGCACGTCATCTCGTACCTCCGCCACCCCGTCAACACCCCCTCCCCACCCCCCTCCTCCTCCACCACTGCTGCTGCTACTGCTGCGCGAGAATACTCCTCTGTAAATGTTACGCTATGTTAATAAAACGTTTAAAAATGTAAAATTTAAATGTTAATAGTCCTACGCTAGTTATACACATTATTTTCACGATTCTAATGGATGTCCAGCATGAAAGATAGTATCAACTATAAACTACGCCCCTCTTTTCAAAGGAAAGTAATTAAGTAGAATACATGGTGGGCATTCTGATGTTATCTGCATTTAAAATGAACGTGGGGCGTTTCGAAAATAAGGAGTAAACACTAGCATGCAATATCTGATGATTACAAGCTCATATCAAACCTGTTTACATCATTGCCATCGACAGTCAATGAAATACAAGCAAATTACTACTCATGTATTCATATCTGTATTACGCAGTTTTATGGCAATCGTGAGGATTCATAACTTGGAAAATAGTTACTATATATGCCTGAAAAAACACTCAACGAAGCTCGAGAAAGTAACAATCATCATCACTTCATATACTTTACAGGACATTACAATGTATAATTCCACTGAGGTAATAAATTTTTCAACTAAAATTATTACATGAGCTACCAGAGGAGACACGAGAGACACCTCAGTAGTACACTTGCCTCTCATCCTCGCCAGGAGGCAACACAGGAGGCTGGATAGGAACTCCGTGCGAGGGGCAGCCTGAAGACGGACTCCTAGAATGTCCAGGAGTGGATTTGCTCGAGGCAACTCTGCTGCCACTCGCACTGCCACCATTTATTGAGCCACTCGGCACACTGTGGCAACCACTGCCACCCTCAACGTTATTGTTGTTAGCGAAGTTGTAAGTCTTGCTATTCTCGGTGCCGGACCTTGCCATGGCAGACGATGAGCAAGCTTCACTGGCGCTGTTACGTCGCGTTGCTTGTAAGCTGCCACTTTGCATTACAAGCTCCACGTCTGCTAATATCCTTGAACTATTCACGCACACCGAACAACTGGATCCTGAGTTCTGTTCATCAGCACCGTGAATGTGATGGTGATAAACTTGAGGTTCTTTACGACAACCACTAGTTTGGTGCCGGCAACCTGCTTGGTGTTGGAATGCTCCATTGGACAGCGCTTGTGTATGCTGGAGCTTTTTTCTCATGAGGTTTTCAACGATTTCCTCGTCAAGTCCATAAGCACTGTTGGAATTTCCAGTGCTTTTTGGTGTAAATTTGCTGGAGCCACAGCAGTGAAGATGAAGGCTGCAGTTGCTGAGCTCAACGCCATTACAGTCATCACAGATATTTCCTTCACAGATCAGAGTGTCGGTGCTTCCTCTTTTAGCGCCAGGCTCTCGGCCTTGTACTGAAAATTCACACTTCATCGTATCTCCAACGTCTGAGTCACTCTTGTGCATTCTTGTGTCTATCTTGAGCTTACTAAAACCATTGGTGATGGCAGCCAGATTCTGGTCTAGCTCCTCATCCGAAGTGACCACTCCATTCTCGTCAGCTTCAATGGCTTTCTCAATACTTCCGTTGGAAATTTCAGAAGCAACTTCAGAACAACGCTTGCTGGCTTCCGGAATGCCATAAACTTCCCTAGGCAAGGCTGAAAAGTTGTCAGATGGGTTTGAAAGCATCATGAGGTTTTTGAAGGACATGTTAACGCTACACTGAGACGCGTTGCAATCGTCCGCACAGTCACACAAGTTTCGCTTTCGTTCTTCTTTTTCAATACACCTGCACACGGGGATAAGCTTTTCAAGAGTAACATCAGCCTCTCCATCGCACATTTTCCCGTTCATCACGTGCTGGTCAACATCTGTGTCAACATCAAAATGATTGCTGTACAGACGTGGCCGCATCGAGGCACCATCACCAATCCGAAGCAGTCGAGTGTCAAGGTTTGACATTTCTATAGTCTCTTCGTTTTCATCTGTATGGAAAATTTCATTGCCGATGGCTGAGCTGAGCATCGCAAGATTCGTCGAGCTGTCTTTGAGGTTGCTATCTGACGAGTGACGGACGAGAGACAGCTGTGGCTGCTGTGTCAGGTCATCACATGAACGGGTCTTCACAAGATCCCCAGGCAATGTTGTATCGTGGTCACTGGTAGGCTCCGGACACAGGTCGAGAGTGGATGGCTGGTTGCCGAAAGAAGCAGAGGTGTTGAGGTCGTCAGCGTGTGCAAGAGGAGAGGATCTGTAGACGGCAGCCCAAAGTCTCAAATCCTTGGTGTGATAGGCAGGAGAAAGCACCTGCTTCGTAGGGTTATAGAAGTAATTAATGTATCGTTCGGTGTTGAAGTTGAAGATGGACCACACAAGGTATGTGCGTTGCTGCAGCTCATTCACAACACGTTCCTGAGAAGTATTGCAGAGAAAAGTTCCAAATAAGTTACTATAGATGTGTTGACTAAGTTTCACAAGGTATGCTTGGTTAAATTGGAATGCTTGGGGGAATTGATGGAGTAGCTGATGTACGGCGTCAAGCCACTGCAGAAACACAGGACAACGTTCACTGCCGTTGCTTCCACCACTGTAACCGCATCTGTCCGTAAACTTATGGCCAAACTCGACCCACTCTCGCTCTACCAACACCTCGAAGCCCTGAAGAGTCCTGTAATATGGATCCAATATAATTTGAGCCAAAGCAGTGATTTGAGGAGTCCTATCCCAGCCATCACTACAGTGAACAACGACTGGTCTTCCTTCTACAGCGATTGCATTACTAACAATTATAGCCGATTTGAGGAGCTGAGACAAATAGCAGAGCCAGCGTGATCCTTCAACTGCTGACAGCCAGCTTGTGGTGTCAGGAACATTAGCCACGATGTTTGAAAGAGTCTGATGCATTTTTCGGACAGTATGGATGTTGTCCAAGTTCATGAATTGAATATCAGATCTGCTGTAATATTCGGGATACTCGAAGCCTCCTCCACGTGCTCTGTTGGCAACAGCGTTCGTGTAGGACCGTGCATCCACAACAAGCACTTTCTTGATGTCTGTTTGTTTCCTGGCGTCTGGAAGATGGTAGAGTGACTGGATATCAGATGTAGGCGTTCTAGTACCAGGGTCAGGAGCGTCAAAGCCGAGTTCACCTGAGCGTGATGACAATGGCCCACTGCTTTCAGAACTGTAACCCGCAGCATGAATTTCAAACTCGGATACATCAAAAGAACGGCTAGCAAGAGACGTTGAATCGCTACTGAAGCTGTCTGATGCATGCCGAATGTTGGGAGCTGAGGGTATCTTGCACCCTTCGCCTGTAGCAATGTCAATTGATCGACTAATGGAATATGGCGGCTTTCCTTCAAAGTGCTGGCTGTCGTCAATGTCATCATCTTCTTGATTACCATTGTACAGAGGATGAGGTATTGAGTCCTCAAGGATCTTCTGAACTTCCTCCGGTTCTTCAACTTGCACCTGAGTCTTAATGCCAGGATCGATGGTTTCAGAGTCAGTTGGTACTTCAAGCCTGGGGATCAAAAGAATAATTTTGAATTAATTCAAGCATTTTAATTATTTGAAATGCAGATAAACTATCATCCTAATGATATTTAATGGATTTAATAATAAATCATGCTAATTTTAAATTACTTTATCAGTGTCTAATGCAGATAAATCATCATCCTTCATTAGAGTAGAAACTAGTTGTCCATATTAGCGCAGATTTACTACGTATCAAACTTAAATTATGCTTCTTTTTTGCCGTTCATGACCAAAATGTCATGGGTATAAAACTCAGCAAGCACAAAAAAAACTTTACTAAATCAATTTTTAACTAACCTTGTTTTCTCGCCGCTTTTGTTATTTTTAATTGGTACGTCGTACGCACAAGCCTCAGCAATAGCCTTTAGGAAATCTTCATCTTGGCTACTGCGCCAGTACCAGATGCCCACCGTAGGTTGCGAGCAACGTACAAGCACCGCACCTGTGCTCGCGTGCCTGAAGAACATAATCAGTAGATAAATTAAGATTTTGTGCAAAAAGTAAGAAAGTGCATGAAATTCTACAGCTTATTCTACATTAAAATACCACTTTGAGAAACACATGATCTATGTTAAGTCCCACAGAAGCCTCAAATTAAACAGATGTGTGTGAACACTAGTAAATATATATTAACACCTAGTCAAAAATAAAAATAGATCAAAAGTGGAGTATATACCTGTAGACGACAGCAGGGATGCGCTTTGAAGTTCTGTGTTGTGAGACAGCCTGCAGGCTAGCCTCGTTGATACATGAAGGAATGATCAGCCTTCGGGGATATGACGAACACAAACTGTAGTCGGAGTTGATGCTGGTCACGCGCCATGCTCCTGACACGTCAAACTTTTGACGACTCAACTGAAAAAAAAATCAAGATTATTTGAATTACGATTGTTACAATGGCTTGGCAAATGAAACATCAGTCACGCGCCATGCTCCTGACACATCAAACTTTTGACGACTCAACTGAAAAAAAAAAATCAAGATTCTTTGAATTACAATTGTTAAAACGGCTTTGCAAATGAAACATCAGGCAGAACAAATATTTCGAATGTAATCATTTGAGAATATTTCTGTGTCATGCTAGGAATCATTATTAAGTGACATTGAAAAAAATGTAATGATTTCAGTTCTGTCATGGGATGAAAAATGAGAGAAAGCATTAGGAAAATTAAAAAGATACAATACATAGGGGGGTTATTATGAATGTATTTTTCAAGTTGCACGAATAACAATATGACGTACTCAGTAAAGTTGACAATTGGCTTTCATATTGGTCTTAGGGAGCAGTCTTAGATGGGAGCCACATAAATAATTTAGTAATACACTGATCCTGTTTTCAAAAAGTATCAATGAGAAGAATTATTCGCAGATTATCTCAATAGCATGGAAGAACTATTAGCAGAAATCCAGTTTGCTGATTTCTGAGGAAATCAATAGGCCAATTAAAACAGCCCCAGAACTCGATTGGCGGTAAGAGTGTGGGAAGGGTTTTGTGAACACTTAAAACAATTAAAACTTGCCAAACAATTGCAACAAACACTGAAATGAGTGTTTTATCAGTTAATCATTTCCCATCGCAGATTCTGCCTATCATACCTGTGGTAGTACTCATGCATATCATTCTTTGTCCTATAGAATGTAACACCCGTGAGGCCGTGACAGCTGAGGGATTATTGTAGATGAACAGCCTAGACTTGAGGCTCAAATTAAATGCATGAATTTTTGCATGGATATGAGTTGATCTCTCCTTAATAAATTAAACAAATAGTGAAAATAGGCAAGTTAAATGCACATACTTATAGACAACTGATAACTGCGTTTTATCATTCAATAGCTGAAGGCATATTTATAAGATCATTTGAACTATCAAACAGAATACCTCCATGTCAAAAAGTTTGTCCACACGCTCTTCATAGGAGTCTTCATATGATGGCAGTCCAGTGATATTGGTGCTGGAAAAGATGCTGTGCAAGTCATGATGAAACTCTTTAGTGTGAGAGTAGAACTTGAAGGCAAAATGTTTATCTAAAGATGCTGGAGGAATTATGGCTTCTTGGAGACGCTCTAGCCACACAGCGCTGTGTTCTGCCGACAGGAAACGGATCCTGTACACGAATAAAATTTTAATTAGTTAATTTGTGTGTTGTCCTAAGTTGAATAATGTACTAGGTTACATGCTATTAAACTAGATATCTGCAAGAAACGAATAACCAACATAGAAGTTAAGTAAAAAATTAGTTACCCTTATTATCATAAGAATCTAGCATTAAACCATTTGAATTTCAAATTACAATTACTCCACTTTAATTACAATTATTGAACTAGGATCATAAACAATACATATGTTAATTCATTTTACAGATGCCATAACTTCCTAGTTAAACAGCACCACATTAATTAAAGATGGTACGATTTAGGTTCTAAATTTCTCTGGAACAATTTTTCTTCCAAATAATTTTAACACAGTTATACAACAAACACTGAATTTCTTGACTACCAACTCCTGCAGTAGGAAAATAGTTCATTTATTTGATGCATTTCAAGTTCTCTTACCCATAGCTCTTGCCATCTTTGCACATGAGCACAAGAGATGTGTCATTCACAGTGGAAATGGAGTCGAGGTTGCCCAGAGGTACATGGAACTGTTTGCTGCGCTGCTGCACGGCAGCTCGGTAGTTGGACAGCGCGAGAAGACCTCGTTCAGGCAGGGTCGTGACATATTGTACTTCCTCACCAGCTATCTCTACAAAGGGCACAGGTGGTGTGGCCCCATTCTCAAACTGGCATTCAGTCTCACGAAGCTGAATCACCTGCAAGAAATAAATTTGAAGTCTTAAAATGATTACACACTAAAAAATATCTAAGTTTTGATATAATACTGTATAATATTTGTTATTTTCTATCAGAGGGATAACTAGTCATGATCCTGGTTAGAGGGATCATTATATATATTATAAATTTAACATTGGATAGTCACATTAAAATGAAAACATTCATTTAATCATGAACACAAACCAATTATGATGCAACAAACATTACCGCAGTACTAACTGAATGCGGATTTCAACAATACCTTATCTAAAGCTGCTTCAACAGCTGCTCCATCAGCAGCTTCTTCAGCTCCACCTCCAGTGTCACGAGGTTGCATGGCTCACTTGATGATGCACTAAGTGCAACACCAAAGCTGAAAAATTATCACATGAGGAAAATTATACAACAGAAAAAATTAATCGTAACTCAGGAGAAGTAAACAGAACAAATAATTATAGTCAGTGAACCATCTGTTTCCTAACAATATATATACAGTGGGGGGAAATAAATATTCGTACACTTAAAAAATCGTATTTTAATGTATGTAAGTACACAAACTTAACAGGAAAAGTGATTTAAATTATGTATAGAGACGCATAGTATTCAAAAATAATATCAAAAGAAATTAAATCTCAATGCAACAAAAAACAATGCAACATGTTCAATTTTCGGGGTGAAAAAAGTATTCGTACAAAACAATAAATCCGCATTATTTTATGTCTCTATACATAATTTAAATCACTTTTCCTGTTAAGTTTGTGTACTTACATACATTATAATACAATTTTTCAAGTGTACGAATATTTATTTCCCCCCACTGTATATAACAATATATATAGGTACTTGTGTCGCAAACCAGTGTTATGTTCAACAGCATATCTATGGCCAAAAAGTACATATGTGTGTGACAACTTCAATCAACTCAGCTCCCAGTCCTGAAGACTGGGAAAAAGGCTGGAACTTTAGCTCAATAAATACATTTGTATATATACTAGCATAGATTTTCATAATTTATAGTACATAGGATAGGGATTATAGAATAGGATGAAACTTGACTTATTCTCAGCAGGGAAAATTGACTGTCAAGACTCAGGGGAAAATTTCTTGACTGAATGAGCCTTGAGCTTTTCAGAAGTGTTCAATTATTTAGGTATATTCTGATGCACATATATTCGTGTGCACATGAAATTAATAGTAAAAATTAAAATAAAATTTTCCCATGCTCTCACCTTCTCTGAATGTTTCCCTTTTTGCCTAAAGTATAAAGCCAAAAAACCTTGAATGAGATGTCTTAATATTTACTGATGGCACAAAAACATCATTACTTTGTTAACCCTTTACGCCCTGAATTTCTGGGATGAAAATCGTAAAATTCACTTTTTCGGTTTTAAGTCTCACTTCAAAGCTGACATTCTGACCTATCCAACGGTACCAAAATCGTCTCTGTACGTTGATTTATGCCTTGACGACAGTTCGTGAAAGGGTTAGGGGTGGGGGAGTTCTTTAACATTTAATATGGGCGAAAATTACTGGTCGGGCACATAAATAGACAACCTGAAGACGCTGCTCTTTAGTTACCCGGCTGCTGTCGTGTGGGATGGTGCTCATGCAGTCGTTCCCACCATCCTTGACTGAATTTCGGCTCCAGTAATGTCTAGTCTTGCATCTATGTCACCTTGAATGCCTATTTTGAGGGGCTCGGGACTTTGTCGCGCCCTACTGAACATTCACACTTATTGTCACTGCAAACCTATCTCCTCCCAGAGTTTTTAAGCTACAGCAATGAGTAATATACCGTTCGATTCGCAAATAAAAGATCTAGAGATTGGTCGAAGCTTTTTTTCATTTTCGTTATAGTTTTGAAAATATTTTGAAAAAAGGGGAGGGGAAATTCAAAAGGGGGGGGGGAGAAACCAATTTTTTTCGAAAAATGCCCACCCCACCCACAAAAATTAGAATTTTGAAAAACAGCAAGGACCAATCGATAGATATGGTCCTTACGCATCGAATGATATGCGTCTCGATGTTGTAGCTCAAAAATCATAGGAGGTGATAGATTTCTACAGTACCCCCTTTTTGTCAGTTTTCTAAGAATTTCACGTTTTCTTTCACTTTTTTGGAAAAATTCCCACGAACAAAAAAGTCTTAGATTTATTTTTTACATATGTGTACCAAGTTTCAAAGTTATCTGTCAGTAATTAACCGAAATAGAATTTCCATAAGAAATTGGACATTGCCATTGGAAATTGGAAATTTTATTTCGGTTACTTACCGACAGATAACTTTGAAACTTGGTACACATATGTAAAAAATAAATCTAAGACTTTTTTTATTCCTGTGAATTTTTCGAAAAAATGACAGAAAATGTGAAATTGTTGGAAAACCAAAGTTTTTTTCTGTGTGACGAATTCGTCACGCCAGGGCGTAAAGGGTTAATAAGGCTCACAAGAATTAGAAACAAAAGGTAGGTCAATGACCTAACTTTTGACAGAAAAATATTGATCTATGCTATCTATCTATTGATCTATGCTATCTATCCTACCTTTTTTACCTGTTGAAAAAAAAACTAGTAGGAAGTAAACTTCAATGACACATTACCCGTACCAACGAAGAATGTGGACTACAATAGCTAATAATCAGTTACATGGTAAAAATTGATCAAATTACATCATTTGACATGAGTAAATCAGCTCATGTCATAAGATACCTAACTTTTGTAAATAATTCCTATTGGCAATTTTAACAAAAATACTGATGTACTTGTGCAAGCAGTGAATATTGAGATCTCTCATTCAAGTTTTTTAGCCAAGGTAAAAAGGAAAGCTTTTAGACAGTTAGACTGTGAGAGCATGAGAAATTTTTATTCTAATTTTTACCATTAATTTCATGAAAACCCTATATATAAATGATTAGGGTAAACGCGGTATATTCCGACATCGTAGGTAATTCCGTCACTTCCCTAGTTTTTCCTTTATATTAAGCTTTGTTTTAGTTCCATGCGTTCATTGATGGTTGAAATGGTGACGTCATACATTTGCGTGTCGAAATACTGCAAAAACACTAGGTCTTGGCCATCTAGTGGGAAAATATTGAGATCCAAAGAGAGACAATGCATGCCACGTGGTGAGATCATCGAAAAATGTGTCAAATTTGACAGTTGACCTTGCTCTACCAAATAGTGAATAACTGTTTTTATAGGAAGAATATTATGGTTTGAGACTTTTAAATACGTCTGTGAATATATTAGGAATCCTTTAAGTATACTTGTATTCGCTGATTTCAAGTCGTAAATAAATTAATAGATGATTAAGTTGAGTGATGGATTTAGACCCATCAAAACTAATTCCGACACAACTTGAATTAGACACACAAATATCTGTCTCTTATACACATCTAGATGTGTATAAGAGACAGATATTGACATAACTACATTATTGTTCTAGGCGCTTGAAATAAGAAATGTAGCATTACCTATTAAATTAGCACTAGTGCGTTAACAATGTGTGCATTAGGGGCGGTCCATTCTAGCTTTCTAACGCTGTTTGGATTACAATGGCAGTGACGTTGCACGCGTTCTGATGGTAATTGGATTCTTATGACTGGCGTTGCACACGTTCTAGCAATGATTGGATTCATTTGACTGTGACGTTGGACGCGTTCAAGCATTGATTGGATTCTTGTGACTGTTACGTTGGACGCGTTCGAGCGTTGATTGGATTCTTGTTACTGTGATGATGCAAGCAGTTTTTTTTAAAGAAACAGCTGTGGCATCTTGCAGAGACTCATCAGTGATGATGATGGAGTGAAAGTGGAAGTGTGCTGGACGTTCCAGATTTTTGGGTCCTGCTTTCCAAATTGCTATGTTTACCAGTTAATATATTACCCCTCTGGATTTCCACACTGGTACCTAGGTATGTACTCAGTACTCTCAAGCAGGCATGGAATTTATATACTTTCTGAGCCGGGGAGCCCTATTTGGAATGTTGGACAGAAATTTCCTAAAAATTGTGGGTTAAAAGCAATCATTTCACTGGTAGTGGTGGTGAGCAAACATAGGCCATTTTTCCTATTTTGTAACTGAAGTAATTGTGAAAAGGCCATAGGATGATAGGAAAGGACAAACTTGGCCAGATTCACAGGCACTAACAGTCTAACACAGTGGTGTATGTGGTTACAAAAATTATTTTAACTGCAATAAATTTGAATGTAAGTAATCTGTGGTTCTAGCTTCTAGTTAATGAAATGGTGAAAGCCCCAATTTGGAGTGACACTGACAAGTCAAATATAGTTCCATACTGACAAGAGTCAAGAATTAAACTTAATTATGGAATATTATTCACTTTTCTTACTTTAACTGCAATTTGCATTAGTTTATTCTTGTTTTTAAAGAGAATTACCGCAATATTACGATACAAATGCGGTCAGCGGCTAGACAAGAAGTTTAATAATTTCCTAGTTAGGTCGGCTGCTGATTGGAATTGTGGAAGCCTTCGCACCCGCACGCAAATAATAATTAAAAACTGACAAATGCAGCTACTGGAAACTAAAATTAACCAGCTCTACAAGAAGCTCTTTAATTCAAATATGTTTTTTTTACGAAAGAATACCTACGCCTACAAACATCACATAAGGAGAATGTTCTGCCACGTTGATATGCCTGTTATCACTTTTGCGGGATAATACATGAACTAAACGAACATAGAAGCTGCAGAAAATAATTCACAGCATAATATGACTTATATAGAAATTTTAAAGAGTTTTAAAAGGTTAACAACTTACATTTTGGGCTTATAGCCAGATATATTGATGTAAGAAACTCGCAATATGGCCGCCACAATAACAATAATAATAGAAGTTCCAATGATGCAGCTTAGTGGTTGTTTTTTATTTTTTAACTCAATAAAATATACAATTATAGGTAGTTTTATTACTGAAAAATTCTGCTTGTTAAAAATTTATAACCTCTACACTTTTTCTCCGATTTGAAATAACATATATGAAGACCTGCCGTCGTGTCACGTGAGAACACAATCACTTATATATGAAATTCGTCAAGAGCTTTTTTGACAGAACGAACAATTGTTCTTTGAATATTTCATATTTTTTATTGAATGCATCAAAAGCGATGATTTTCGCAAATTTTCCGTGCTCAGAAGCAAGACGTTTCTAAATACACAAAACATGTAATATTAAAATAAGGACAAATATTTTATTTAGAATGCGGCGTCATGGCAAAAACTTTAGAAATTGTCAACTATATAATGCGATTTATGTGAACTCAATGTCGAAACAGGTTTGAATAATAAAAATGTTAAAAAATGCAGCTGCCAACGAAATGCAAGCATCATCGGTAAAATTGTCCACATCGATAGGTTTCAACCACTCCCAACTAATCTTACAACATCGTCTGTTTAAATAGCGAATGGTGCAATAACGAAGCAGTACGATCACTCAGTTACGATCACGTCCGACAGGTCATTTTAAGCCTATGAATATAAAGTCAGCTATCAACAAAGAGCCCTTCACAGGTTATGTCAGAGACGGTGTTGTCACCGGACCGGTAGAAGCATTAGAATATCACAAACGACCTTGACGCACCATTAAAGTTCTTGAGTAAATACATTTTGTGCAGTTACTTTTAATGGGTCACCGGACCCCTACCAATTTTGAACTAAGAGAAGAACACGCACACCATAAAATACAATTAATTTGCTTTCATGTTTCACTCCATTTTTGTCTTGGCGTGAATACTTTTTACATGAGTTCTGAAAACCTCGTTTCAACAGCAGCCACGCAACTCTATTTATAAAACAATCACAGATGTTCAAGGTCACTTCAGTATCCGCGCTATCTCTACAGGCGATGACACTCCCTGACCCCGACGATTGCCTAACTTAACATAAGTACATAACAAAACATAACATAACATAGTGATCTCGGCGCTGAAAAGTAGGCCTGATGTGGCCTGTCGCCAAATCTTACTTTTCGTGCCTTGTTCACGGAAAATCTGAAAGCATGTCATTCGACCGGATATTTTCAAGACTGACGATAGTTTGAAATGGCTACTAGACTTCCACCGGGTACGATATGATGCTCGTTGTTTTCTGTTGATACCTCATGTTGAGGGCTCAACGGCTCGGCCAATACCCTAATGCGGAATAGAACTAATTAAACGACTCGCGACTAAATTAAGGCCCCAGCATATTTTCCTGCCCGAAAAGGAGGACCTAAGCGGCGAAAATTCTCGATTGTGACTATGTACAGAGAGTGTTTGATCCAATCTAAAATAAAGGCGTACGCAATCTTCAAAAATTTATTTTTATACCATTATAATTTTAATGATTTATTCGTTCATATATATCGTCAAACTCATTTATATTAAAAAAATATAACTCAGTACTCACTGCAGTGAGTGACAGAGAGCGCATTTTCTCGTCGACGAAAACGTGAAGTCACGGACGGACATGACGAGCACATTAGCGCCTTTTTTCCATAAATGATTAAATGCGCTAAAGAGGCTTGTTTAGGCCTGCTGCCGATTCTTGCACTTTTCGCGACCTGTTCACACATCTAAATACTGGACTTATATTATTTTATTTTGATGATCCAATGATTTACGAACGATTTAACCAATTAACACAGACCCGCACTTGGCTACAACTCGGCCTGTGGTTGGATGCTGCGGAACGCGAAATCCCGAAGGATTCCTAAGGACACTAACGCAATTAAAATTGATCAAATTAATTGTTAATTATGAATTCCATTCATCTTCAGGTGAATAAAATGATGAGAATCAAACATGCACGCAACGTGTTAGCCGCGTTTCCGATCGAACTTCCTTGATCGAGTTACAATGTCCGAGAGTAGTTTTATATAACGTTATATAATAGATAATAAAGAAGTCATTTTATTAATAATCTCGACGGAAATACCGCTTTAAAAAATGCTTGAAGCTTCACGAACGCTCATAAAGAAATCTTTTTCTATTAATAATCTCGACATGAATACCGCTTAAAAAATACCTGAAGCTTTAAAAACGCTCACTAAAGTCACTATGCAAGCAATATCATTCATCACTCTATTGCGTTCCGCTCGAGCGCCAGTAGCGTGAGGTGAGGGAAGAGAAAGTTCACAAGGATTCAAGTTTATTAGTGAACAGTATCCGCGTAAATCGTATCTCTCTTATTTACAATTTGAATTAAAAGTGCTCATAAAGTTAGCGAGAAGGGAAAGTACGATAGTAACGAATTAAAATAAAAGATTGCAGTGAAAATATAAACAATGGGAAAATATGCAAACAAGGGAGTATAAAAACTATAGCAAAATAAACTATGTTTACAACTGGAACGAAAAATTTACGAATTCCGAACTCTCGCAAATGAACGTATTTATAAAGCGATTCGTATGTTTTACAGAAATATAACGTTTATACTCTTCTCCTTTGATAACTTGCAAGCGGCTCGCCTTACAGGGAGTAAACCATGTAAATTAATAGTTAAGAATTTTATCTCCTCAACCACGGCTTGACTTGCGGGCATCAAAACATTTGAAATTTTCATGAGAAAAAGTTGTAAAATGTTTGACATTTGATATAAATAATCAAAGGCGCTTGCGCATTCAATATAAGTGAACACACTAAGAATTGAAAACGTCATCCGAAGGGAATATCAAGTAATTTATTGGAGCGTTAAGTTAAAAGATAGTCAAACATGTTGAAGAAAAGCTATGACATAACAGGAGTAACATTGAAACATATCAATTTACAATATTAATTACCAATGGAACGTGGGAGCTGAATTAGTTGCACTAAAGCTGAGGAACTTGAAATGAAAATCAATAGGTTGATGACTTAAAACCATAGGTGTACAAAAATGATGCAGCATCGATATTATTCACCAGTGACAAAAATATTGATGAAATCAATTGACATGTGAAAAAACGGAACAGTAATGGAAATGTGAAAATAGTTGGTGCGTGTGGTTACAATAGCTGCGAACAAATAAATTAAATACATTTAGAATAGAAAACTTCTCTATTTGAAAATTACCAAATGAATATAGCATGATATAGTACACCGACTTAGAATTAAATTTTAGATTGTCGTTTTCTAAAGATGAAAATCAAAGATTTGCTTCCAATAGCCATGCTAGCCAATATCCTAACCACCGTAAGTAACGTTGACCCGCTGGCTGCATTTCGTTACTTTACGATGAATGCAGTGAATCAAAGTACACGCAGCGTTGAAAATGGTTGACACAACATGGATGTGTTAATATTACACACAAAATTGTATATCTACGTGAAGTGCCGTAGTTATAAATATGTCGTGTTACAGCTCATGTTGTATACATGGTCACACTGATCACGACACACTGAGAAGTGAGAAAGATTCCATGAAATTACTCGCACTTAAGTAAACAAAAACTCCAAGATTATCCACTGAAGAAATCTACAAGAAATAGTGTAGGTTGGCACCAAAGTTTCGATAGCACACTTACGTTATGCGACGAGGAAGCGAAACACTCAATTTTTCACGACTTCAGACATAGAATTCAGCCTCTTAAATATACCATCAGATCTGCCTAGCTTGCCATACAGGAGTCTATACAGATCAGCACACTGATGCATGAAAACCATTAAAAGCTAATTTAATTCACAGAATATTAGCCTCAATAAAAATGAATGTTTTATCAACTTCATGATCAAAGAGTGTCAAATTGAAATAGGTAATTTGACCCAATATTAGGCAACTAATGTTCATCATTTCCACAAGCAACCGGCATGGTACACGTGAGATAAAATATTCACAACTTTCTAAGAGAACTAAAATCATTCCAGAGTAGCGGCATAAACGTCTACGCAAGCTTACTTCAAGTCTCTCCAGCTCAAGGTAATTAATTAGCCCGTAAAAGTTCACTTCAAACTCCAGATCAAGGTTTCTCTTCAATAATTTTTATGTTCGTTTTCAGATATCAAGATCCAGTATTTCGATTTCCGACTGAATTAAGTTCGACCCAGAGACTTAATCTCGTATCGAAGAATAACATGTACACGTATAACGACATCGGCCGTCTATTCTACATGGTTAACTCTCCACGAAAACACGAGGGTATAACTATCAACTATTAATGTTATCTAAAGGGTAACGGAATGTTTAGAAATTATTATTTCACTCCTCGACAATTAATTGCCTACGACAACAGCTAGCAAGTATATTAGCATACTCTTCGGTAAAGTAGCGTCAAGAGGTTAGTGTTCAGTAATACTACGGAGTAAAGTAGCAGGATTAAAGTAATGGGATTACCTTAGAGATAATAATATCAGAGAAAGAAATTATTCTAATGTTATAATTAGCTGTATTACCTGCGGAATATCTACAGCGCGTTTCACGATCAACAATAATAAAGCTATCAATAACAACAGGATGTTAATAAATTAAATAAGTAGGTACATAATAGGGCAAGAATAATCAACTAGTTTTCATGGAAATAATGTGAGTGAGCCTCTGCTAGTAGCTTTGTACCTAGAACTAAGAATCAGTAGTGCAATTTATTCAATACAGTTTAATTTGCTTTAGTTTGGAGATAGAAACCGCACGAATTGATAAAAGATTCTCCAACATGCGAATTAACTTAACCTACAGTGCCACATAATTATAATTTAACGTGAAAATGATTTTTAATCATGCTTTTCATTAATAAGTCCAGAGCATACGTTAAAAAATTACAATTATAAAGTTCAAAAACTGATGAATTACAAAGAGATTCTTCAAATAACGTGTTCCAGAGCATGGAAAATTCCAGAAAGGGCATGAAAGCGCAGCTAACTATGAAAAGGACATTTCAAGGAAATCCAGGGAAATCCACAGGGGAAAGGGACATCTAGTACTCATTTATTTTGAACACAGGAATTTTAGAAATGAAGATACCTTGGAAGAAGAGAACAGGGATAGCTATATTGATCACCCGTACCTAAATCTTTAGACAAACATACGTCACATTACAACACTTATGATATCAGATCTACTATAACATCAAATAAAGGGTCTATATAACCTACTATATATTCCAACGAGTTTCATGCAACGAAACTTTTATCCACAACGAATATTAAAGCGCATAAGAGTTAATAGAAGAAACATTGCACACACGTTACTTAGTAAGTAAGATGAATTGAACTGAAATGGCGTTGCTTAGTTCTGTTGCGGAAGAAAAGACGATCTCAAACAGAGAATTTTTTATGTTGCATAGCAAAGGCATAAAAAAGGCTAAATGCTTTCAGAGAGAAATTGTATCGCTAACTTTAAAATATGAAGACTCTATAAAGGAAATTAATGAGAGAAAATTGAGCAGAGTATTTCGGTGGAAATTACGAAAAAAACGGCTACTTCAAGAAGTTTCTAATTAAGGGATCACAAGCGTGTGATCATACATACTGAATTCCAAATCATAAAGCAGAGAGCTTCAAATGCCTTGCTTCGTTTAGAGTATGGACTTCAATCGTACAAGAGTAGTATTTTAATTAAGAGCAGGATTGAGGTTTGAGAGGTTTGAGCAGTCAGTTGTGACGCTGATATTGTGACTTATGTTTGAGTTTCAGGTTACTTGTTCAGTGTATGCATCACATAAGCTTGTAGGAGCATATATTTTAGCGTGCATGGAAAAGCAAATAAGTGGGAGGTAAAAACGGGATAAAATAGATTAATTGGGCAGAGAAATCAGTACCTTGCAGAATTTAATTATTGTGCTGAGCGCTTAAAGCGATAATTGTTTTTTCTCTGCAATATGGTGGTCTAAATAGCCGGTGAGTCTAGCTTGTGCAAAACGTTTCAGCAGAAAGAGACGGGTAGCGCTTCCGCGCGGCCTGGGGTCGCTACGCCCAAAACATTTACCGAGGTGTTAGACAGCCAAAAAATGAACAGCGTGCGCACAACGGGAGGATAACTCGCAAGTAGCCTTGACAAATTTAACGCGCAAATTTTAGCAGCCACAAAAATTGTGCCTTAAAAGTAAAAATGATTTACTGAGGTATTAGCAAGCCAATAAAATGAAGAGCGTGCACCAATACGGGAGGAGAACGCGCAAGTTGTCTTGACAAATTTAACGCGTAAATTTTAGCAGCCACAAAAATTGTGTCTTAAAAGTGAAGATGACCATTCATCTCGGTCGTGAAATTCTTGGTTAAACCGACACAATGGCTGCCTAGACCAATTAGACGAGCGTGCTTGGCCTATTTAGACGGGGGGCAGTGCCCAGAGGGTGCAGGTTTTGTCAGCTGATGTCGATATGAAGGAGAACTGCGTGGGGTGCCAGCGACCAGAGATGACTTTGTCGTCGTGTTCTGCCACCACAACAGATGGCAGTGGCTGGGTCAGGTCACCTGAGAATACCAATAACTCGTCATAAAGCATATCTTTGACAACAGTGGAAACTCATTTTACACAAAGTAATGATAAAATTATAAAAAAGTGCTCCTGAAAAATATGCGCTTAAGACCGCTGGGTACAATTCCAAACAAAGGATGTGAAACTCTGAGAAATTTAAATACAATGCTACCTTGAGAACGACACAACGTTCAAATTTGCACCCTGAAGAACAACGATAACAGCTCAGGCCTGTACATCATGAAGGCTGAGCCTTGTAGGTCAGTGATGACAACAGCAGTGGAACAAACAAGAATGGGAACAAAATGAATGGGAACTAACAAGAATAGGAACAAACAACGGAACTAACAAGAATCGGAACAAACAAGAAAGGAAACAAACAACAATGGGAACAAACAACAATGGGGACAAACAAGAATGGGAACAAAAATGAATGGGAACTAACAAGAATAGTAACAAACAACAATGGGAACATACAAGAATGGGAACAAACAACAATGGGAACATACAAGAATGGGAACAAACAACAATTGGAACAAACAACAATTGGAAGAGATAACAAGATAACGTGTGTACCCTGTAGGTCAGTGAGAACGAGCTTGTTGTCGTAGCCTGCACTGAGGAGGTAGTAGGCGGAGGGGCTGAACCGGATGCTTCGTACGTCAGCCGCGTGCGGCCTGAAGGTCTGGATGACGCGGGAGCCGCGGATGTCGTACAGACAGCAAAGTGAGTCCTCATGCCCCGACACCAGCAGCCGACCACTCGGGTCAACGCTCACTGACGCCACAGGCGAACCCTGCAGTCAGTGGCCAAGGTAATATTAGTACTTGGTGTTCAGAAGTTATCACAGTGATGAAGGTGATATTAGTACTTGGTGATAAGAAGTGATAACTACTTGGTGGTGGCAGGAGTTACTACCTAATCTATTTGTAATGGAAGAGGTTATTATCTAGTAGTAAAACTCAAGGGTGAGAGGACGTTGCTCTCGACAGGTGTTGGCAATTATGCCACTTGGTGAGAAGAAGGCAACACAATTTTATCGAAACATCTTTTACTTATTGGAAAATATACGGGAAAAAGAGCGGCATCTCATGACTAAACTGCATTAATTTAATAACACAGCACGATACAAAACTGAACAATGCCCTGTCATTAATAACAATCCCAAAAATAAAACTGAAGAATGCGCTGTCATTAATAACAATCCCAAAAATAAAACTGAAGAATGCGCTGTCATTAATAACAATCCCAAAAATAAAACTGAAGAATACGCTGTACAACGCACGGGTTTGGTAGGCGTGGCGGAGGGCGTGATGACGTTGACGCAGCCGCGGGTGCGCAGGTNATGCGCCTCACCCGTGTGCCTGGACAGCGCCTGGAAGCATGCGCCTCACCCATGTGCCCGGACAGCGCCTGGAAGCATGCGCCTCACCCGTGTGCCCGGACAGCGCCTGTAAATATGCGCCTCACCCGTGTGCCCGGACAGCACCTGGAAGCATGCGCCTCACCCGTGTGCCCGGACAGCGCCTGGAAGCATGCGCCTCACCCATGTGCCCAGACAGCGTCTGGAAGCATGCGCCTCACCCGTGTGCCCGGACAGCGCCTGGCCTCACCCGTGTGCCCGGACAGCGCCTGGCCTCACCCGTGTGCCTGGACTGCCTGGACAGCGCCTGGCCTCACCCGTGTGCCCAGACAGCGCCTGGAAGGGTGTGCCGGTGGCCGTGTCGGTGACGTATATCTTGCAGTCTCCCGCACCGCCCGAGATGAGCAGGGAGCTCTTGCTGCCGCTGTCCTCCACGAAGCACAAGTCCCGCACTGTGCCGTCGTGCATCGTCAGCTCCGTCTCTTGGCCTGTGCAAACGTGCATATGTTAGGGGCCTTCGTCTGGTAAGGAATTAGTTAATGTCTTAGCTACGCACAGTGCCGTCGTGCATAGTCAGCTCCGTCTCTTGGCCTGAGCAAACGTGCATATGTTAGGGACCTTCGTCTGCTAAGGAATTAGTTAATGTCTTAGCTACGCACAGTGCCGTCGTGCATCGTCAGCTCCGTCTCTTGGCCTGTGCAAACATGGATATGTTAGGGACCTTCGTCTGCTGTGTTAATGTCTTAGCTACTCACGAATAAAAAGAGATAGATATAGATGTGTTAGAGCTAGGGCAATCTTTGTTTTCGCTAGGAAATTTAAAATGAAAGCAAACTTGGATATGTTAGGGACCTTCGTCTGGTAAGGAATTAGTTAATTTCTAAGATTCTTATCAAAAAAGATTGTGTTAGTGATGGAGCAAGCAATCTTTGTTTTCTTCGGGAAAACAAAAATGCGCAAACATGAATGTGTTAGGGACATTTGTCTGGTAACTTAGTGTTATAGCTACTCACGAATAAAAAGATTGAGTTAGAGATCGAGCAATGTTTGTTTTCGCCTGGAAAATTAAAATGAAAGCAAACGCGCATGTCTTAGGGACCTTCCGTCTGCTAAGTTAGTGTGTTTTAGAGATAGAGCAATCTTTGTTTTCTCATGGAAAATAAGAATTAAAAAGAAACTTTTGAAATTATCATTTGACAATGCGTAGCGAAGTACGAGTTGGTTTCAGGGGCAGTTAAATTCAATTTCGAATGTCCGATGCCCATCATACCTGACTGATTCACTCGGCACCACTGTACACACTATGCGCTGTTACGGTATATACGATACAACACTGTATTGTGTAAACGCAGTCTCACATACACTGTATGCACAGTGTCACCTTAAAAATCTAAAAGCAAAGATAATTCCACAAAAAATTCACCATATCTTAATAGAAAACGTTTTATATGAAGATATGATGAATCATTTTAAATTTCTTTATTTATAAATTTTTACTGAATTTGCGATTCAAGCAATCGATTGAAACGTTTTATATAACGAATAGTGAATTCTTGTGAATTTATTTTGAAATATTCACTGAATTTACGATTCAAGCTCTAGTGAAATGAATACAGTGTGACCTTAGCACAGCCCCCACCATGCACAGAGCAGGAGTCCGCATCAAAGGGCAGGAGCTTGACAGTCTTGTCGTTGGAGGCGGTGGCTAGGAGGTCGCCATGAGGGCTCCAGGCCATGCAGTATATGGAGCCTTTGTGATGCTTCGTGCGCTTCAGCGTCACTGTCGGCTGGAAGCTCGAGTCGCTTCCGCGGCTGAGGCGGCAGATGATAAAAATTAATATGATATCATATTAATTTTTGATATCAGAATGATATCATATATATTGATTTACAAACATTAAACGCCTCAGCCGCTTCCGCGGCTGAGACGGCCGATGGTAATAAAATAACCATGATTTATGCTTCATGTTATTAAACTAATATAGTCGATCGTAGTAAAACTCAACCGCCGAGCTTTGAATAACAAGCGTTAGATTCTTTTATTAACATTTTTTGCATGATACCTAAAAACAGTGCTCTTCATGATACCCTTTCGTAATACCCAAAATTTCCACAAAAAGTTTCGGCAACGAAAACATTTACAACGTATGGCGTTGAAACGAACAAATTCTATTTTCATCGCCTCTGAATGTTGACTTGGTTTCAATCAATGTATTTTTATCCGCCAAAGAACAAATTAATGTTAATTGAACAAATGTATTCTACAACTGGTTAATCAAACCAGGAAGTTATAATATCAAAAATAGTCACGAGTTAGTAACTGTGTTAATCAACCACTCTAAACCTACGAATCACGGACGAAAAACTGCATGGCCGCTACGTGTACTTAGACCGCTACGCGTAATTTTTTCTATCTCTGATAGCACGGCCCCAGTACTTGGTTTAATAGAAATAACTAAAATAAAGCCGCGAGATTCAGCACATGTCTTGAGGGAAATAACTAAAATGAAGCCGCGAGATTCAGCACTTGGCTTAAAGGAAATAACTGCAATAAGCCCTGAGATTCAGTATCACCTGTTTGCGAGTGTAGAAGCACCACCATCAGGTGGGTACTGACACACGCGTAGAGTCTTGCTGTTGCTGCCCACGGCGTACCACAGACCTGAGGGGTGGAACTCTGCACAGCGCACCGCCTGCGCGTCCTCCAGCCGCGTCACGGCCATGAACCGCGGCTTGTTGCCGGGGTCTTCCTTGCCCTGCACGAATAGAGTTTAAAATGTCTCCACTCACACAGATCAGAGTTCCTTGCCCTGCACGAGCACGTTTAAAATGTCTCCACTCACACAGATCAGAGTTCCTTGCCCTGTACGAACACAGTTTAAAATGTCTTCCTAATGTAAGTGTACTACTAGTGTTACATTACTACTAATGTAAGAGTTTTGTAAGTGTAATGTCTTACACTTACAAAAATCGGACGGATATTGTCCCATTAGCGATGCACTTATTCAGAGAAATGAGCCAAACTTTTGTGTCAAAATAGCGACACAGAGTAATGAGTGAGAAAACTCTTGTACAGAAATGCGTGTGAAAATGTTCCAGTAGCGATATTTTGCTATTGTGTGTGTCATCTAGACCCACTTTGGCTCGACAAAACAGCGTATTAGTGCTGCGTCTGCACTCTGCTCGTGCTGTGAGTGAGAAAGTGTTTAATTATTTGGACGATATGACGCAACCATTTTCCCGAGTATGGATTCACACTCGCGTCGCACAGATAATGCAATTCAACGATACAAGATGCAATATTGGATTTAGCCAGGGCAGATCAGCGTTCAACACGAATGAAATGCGTGACCACGAAAACAATAAAATATATAATAGGACTAGTGTTGTATTCTGATACAAATCATGTTCATAAATGACAAATTTTATCACTCGTATCACGCAGCAACCGCCGACATGAGGAATGTTTGAAAACAAAACTTTAATGGCAGACAAAAGAAATCTTCAGTGCTGAACTCACCGCATGCCCGTCCTCAATCATACCCATGGTGGGTACACAATATAAGTTACGTGTCCAGCAGAAAAATATGAAATCCTGACAAAATGATGCACAATTAGATGTCTAGATTCAGTTAAAGGAGAAGAAAGTAAACAAACACAATAAAAAATTTCACCTGTGGACGAAAAAATAATAAATAGTAAATGCCTAGATTAAGTTAGAGGAGAAGAAAAGAAACAAATACACAAGAATTAAAATATTTCACCTGTGGACGAAAAAGAATAAATATAGATAATGTCATGGCATAAACTTCGAACTATAATAAAGTTGCAAGACTAAAAAATTAACGACGACCGTTCAGGAAACATCAAGAGCCTGTAGCAACAGAGACAAACACCTCACACATTTTTCGCCCCTTTTTTCATTAAAGATATTCACATGTGATGATGTAATAAAAGAGAACGCAGTCATGCACTCATTCCACTTTCGATAAACAAGAAACACGACAGCCGCGCAAATAATATCCTTCACAAGCATCAAACGAAGCGTTGATACACTCGCGTGTACAATAATCACCGCATCAGCATAGTTAACAGCTATAAGGATACGCTCTAATATCCTCACGCAAATTCCTTATTTTGTTATTTGCCTTCACGCAGCACGCACCATGCCATTGGCGTCAGCATTGCTACCTGACTTGAATGACCAGCGTTACACGGTGCATTTCTGGGGTGTACACAATAAATAGTTTAATTTCAAGTCTGTCAATAGTTTAATTTCACCTAACACGCCATAAGGGAGGAAGGAAGATAAAAACTCTTCTTTTTGTACTCTTGTTCATAATGAAGGCAATGGAGTAAAATTGTTGAGATGAGCGGCATGCAACAACAGCAGATAAAAGTGGGAATACAATGTAGCGAGATGCGCTCAAAGTAACAACAGCAACTAAAAGTAGGAACGATGTAGTAATTAAGATGCGCTCAAGGTAACAACAGCAACTAAAAGTAGGAACGATGTAGTAATTAAGATGCGCTCAAGGTAACAACAGCAACTAAAAGTAGGAATGATGTAGCGAGATGCGCTCAGCAACTATGAGTAGGAATGATGTAGTAATTTGCTCGATATCTCAAGGATTGTAGTAATGTAATGTAATAACTCAAGATGCTGCTCGGCAGACGCCAGCTGAGGCACCAGGCCAGTTTTTCCGTGTCTCTCGTAAGCAGGTCAGGCAGGAAACCAAAAAGATATAATTACAAAACTGGCTCTTAAAACTTGAAAATTTTCCACCAGCAACTCGGAAATAAGTACATCTATAGTAACTTAAAATAATTAATTGTTGAACAAATTAACAAAATTTGGATCTTTCCCATTACAATTATGAACTAAAAATCATAAAAGAGATCATTGCTTTTCTTCTTATTTATTAAAATCATGTTTCTGATTGAAAAATGAGTATCATAAAGATACAATCAGACTTGGACTTCTAATTTCGAAGATAAAAAGAGGGAATGGGAACTTTATGGGAATGAATGAAGCCATGGATAGCAGCAATAGAGAGCTGGCTAAACCCCACGAGCCATTTTCTAGACCGGCCTGACGGGACCGAAGGACGAACGGCTGGTCCGTTATGCAAGCCTGCGCCCGCAACGGGACACCCGCTCACCTCCCGGCACAATTCAGGGGGGGTGCAGATATGGGGGGGGGCAGTTCATTTTCAGGGGGGGGGGGCGGTGAGATATGAAGCTTTGTCATCAAAAGCAACGAAAAATAATTTAACAAAAATAGACACAAGAGTACGAGAAATTCAATATAAATCGATAGGGTCGTTCGCGGTTGACCTACAAGCAGTTGGTAATAGTAGACGTCTACGTGCACATGACCAGTAATCGCTGCTTTCATAGCCTTTAATTGGTTATTTCCGTGGGGCGGCGCTAAAGTTGGCAACCTCGTATAGCAGCAAAAACGATGTCATCGTATAAGAAGACTCATCACACTTTAAGGGCAGTACGGAATACTATAATACGTCCATAATAGTTCCAATTGTTTAAAAAAAGTGGAACGTGATGAAAGCATTCTTATAAACTCCACATTCTGAGCTGAAAGCAAACAATTAAAACGATTAATAAACCTGGAAAAACACGACTGTATTAAAGTGGTTCGTGATAGTTCAGGTTATTTAAGTCTATAAAAATGACAGAACAGAATGTCAGCTGACCGATAAAAAACCATAACAACTTAATGAAAGCTGGCATCGTGGTCAAAATTCCTACATCAAATTCTACACAAAAAATGTCATAATTCAAGCCCTCGAAAATCTATAGCAGTTATAGTGACACAAATGTTTAGAGAAGCGACTTTATTGAACAGCAATATTTGCATGCGTAATGCAGTGCACAAGAGTTAGGTAAAGAGAGCCTGCAGCAGCATATATAATTCAGATGGAGGAGTTCATTGCAGATACCGTAAAGACAACGTCAGGGAAAGTCGTGGCTAAGAAAGTTGTTGTGTTTTATGAGCGTTTTATTGGCAGCTGCGGCTGTACTAATGCGCGCCTCGTTAGCTTATTACAAATAACGGAAATAATTAGCGGTCCAGTAAACGATCAAAAAACAAATGGAGAAATTCTCGGCGTTCTGGGCGACTGATTTTTATGAAAATATCACGTACGAGTACTTTAAAGTTTCCGTAAAACAAATCCGAACAACCCGATATTTTAAATTATTAAAAGTAATTAACTAGTAGGTACAAGCCAATATTAATAACGAACAAATTGCAAACTCAAATTTTATTGGAAGAAAGTTTGTATGCCATTTCAAGCATGACGTCACAAATTTTTGGTAAAAGATATAAACAGTGATTATTTTCAAAAATGAAATGGCTACACGAATCTAATATATTTCAGATTATCAAGCTTGAGTCATGACATAAGAAACGCTTTTCGTCAGCATAAGCCGTATGCACAGATAAAAAATAAACGTAATTATAGCCGGTCAGAATAAATGTCTAGTCTTAAGCTCTTACTTTGAAAGCATAACTATAAATTATAACGGCTATAAGGAATTCTTAGTTTCGCTTGCAGAAATAGATGACTAGCAACTAATTTGTAAGATAATAACGAGATGCAGAGCGCGCAAGCACAGGAGTAAGTTCGTTCACATAGACACGTGGAGACAATTACTCGCTACTGGCCTTAATTAACACGTTGACTCCGAAGTGGTACATATGCGTACCACAAAATGTATTTCTCCGGGATGTAGTGATACATAATTCAGGTTGCCTAAAATCGGCAAAATCCGAGAACAAAAAAGGCCAAAAAGGCCGATAACTCAATATATAGGTACTAGTTTATTTGTAGGTCCCGCTACAAAAATTCCATTTATTTTTTGCAGTATTTAAAATTTAATTAGGAAGTATCCCTAACATGAATTTTAGCCGGCCAATGCAATTGAGAAAAACGAAATCACGGAATTTGTCCGGAAAAAATGACCATCTGAAACCCTGTTTGAAAACGGTACAAAAAATGAAATAATAGTACAAGATGGAGCAATCGGAGTCAAAGTGTTAAGATATGAAGCAACAGCAGAGCAGCGCTTGCGGTGAGTAATTGCCCTTCTCTTTGATCTAAACATCGAGAAATTTCAGTCTCATTGGCTTACGTTTTCAAAAACTTCGAAGAATTACATGAAATCATTAAAATTTATTATACTTAGCTTGCAGACGGTTTCAATACTCAACTAAGCACTAAACTATAGTTGTGGATGAATTTCAGCGCAATTCGTTGTTTAGCAAAGCATGATCACTAAATGAGAACAAAACTTGACCTGGCAAACGTAGGTCGTGTACTTCAGCCATTTTTGAGTAATAATCACGAAAATTTTCGAGGATCTTCATGACAATTGATATCGCATTTGCAGTGTAAAAAATGAAGTGGCTGCTTTGAGGAATAAATTATATTACTTAATTAAGCTTGTATTCCAATGTATCGGGTTCTAGTTAATATGTTACGAAACTTGGAGCAATTTTTTAATTTGAAAAGAAAATCCGAAAATCACAACAATGCACCTAAAAAGGCCATTTAAACAGAATGCACAAGAATTTGAAGGCGTTCATAAGTAAGGCAACCGAGCAGCTTGCACACGAAGGCAATGAGCTTATAACATCTCAGTCAAGGTTCGAGACGCCGGCCGAATAACTGGTGAGAGCGCAACAGCTGCATATATATATATATATATATGCATATATGTGCGTATACGCACG